CTATCACCCAGCTCTGAGCAGTCTCAACCTCGGGAGACCATCGCCTCCACTGGAATGCGCCCCCCTGAACGTTTGACTAAGACGAGTGACGGTGATAGTTCTGCTGCCGAACAGTTAAAGCGTGATAGCCTAGTTGAGCCTGACTCTGACTGGTCTGATGACGAAGTCATGGCTAAAGCGGGTCTCCCACTGGCATCGCTTGCCACTGGACTTTGTTATGATCATCGCATGCGCTACCACTGTGAGGTTCGTCCACAGAGTGATGTCCATCCAGAGGATCCCAGACGTATCTACTACATTTACAAGGAGCTATGTCGCGCCGGTCTCGTTGACGACCCAGAATCGTCTCGACCGTTGGCACCCCATACCTTGCAACGGATCCATGCCCGTGATGCAACCGAGGAGGAAGTCACCCTCATACATAAAGATGCCCACTATGCATTTGTTCGGAGCACGACAGGTGTGCCATTGCCACCACCGGAAAAGCTGACCTTGATAGATTCGCTGACTCGATGAATAGATATGTCCAACGAAGTGCTTATTCAGTTGGAGAAAGATCGCGACTCCATCTATTTCAACAATCTGACCTTTGCTTCGGCCATTTTGTCTACTGGGGGCGCAATCGAAACGTGCTTGGCCGTCGCCCAGCGTCAGGTGAGAAATGCCATAGCCGTCATTCGTCCACCCGGTCACCATGCTGAGGATGATGCCGCGATGGGATTTTGTCTATTTAACAATGTGTGTGTTGCAGCACGCGTTTGTCAAAATAGACTAGGAGACGCGTGCCGGAAGATTATGATTCTTGACTGGTCAGTATCCCACATCACCATTTGGCCACTGCAGCAATACTGACTTGTATTAGGGATGTTCACCATGGTACGCTTAACCCTCAGCACGGCATTTGGAAATGATCCAAGCTCACGTATCATAGGCAACGGCATCCAGAAAGCATTTTACGATGACCCTAATGTTCTTTACATTTCCCTGCATGTCTACCAGGACGGTGGCTTCTACCCTGGAGGCTCTGCAGGAGACTGGGATCACTGTGGCTCAGGCGCTGGAGTCGGCAAGTGAGTTTGTCTTCAAACACATGCAATGACTAAATCCTCACACTTCTTAGAAATGTCAACATCCCATGGCCCACTCAGGGTATGGGCGATGGTGACTACATGTTCGCCTTCCAGGAAGTGGTGATGCCCATCGCTCAAGAATTCGATCCCGACTTGGTGATTGGTAAGAATCCCCCCGTCTCTTTATTTGGTATAGATTTATTAACCATAACAGTTGCTGCTGGGTTTGATGCTGCCGCCGGTGATGTACTGGGTGGCTGCTTTGTCTCACCAGCTTGCTATGCCCAAATGACCCACTTGCTCATGACTTTGGCCAATGGAAAGGTCGCTGTTTGCTTGGAGGTACGTAGATTGTCTCTTTAAATTCTTGCTTGCTTGACCTGACCTTGAAACAGGGTGGATACAACTTCAAGTCTATCTCGAAGTCGGCTCTGGCTGTGACCAAGACCCTTATGGGGGAACCTCCGGACCGGTTGCTTAACAGCTCTCCGACTGACTCTGCGGTCGCAGCGGTCCGCCGCGTACGGAGCATCCAATCCCATTATTGGAGTCGCCTGTACCCCAAGACATCTACTCACCCGGTCTACGCGAATCGTCTTCACGGTAAGAATGATATATTACCCCCACTCAACAGAACTGATGAATTATCTAGATATCCTCCGCATTCACCAGTCGAACCAGCTGTATGAAAGCTGCAAGCTCACCCCGCTGCACATTTACCGCACCGCCATTTCTAAGTCATTTGATAAGCAAGTTCTTGCAAGGTAAGTTGCACTACTGGATCTCGTTTTTATAAGTAAGGACTCACCATCTAGCAGCAAAAACTATCACGAACGTGTGCCGCTTATTGTCATCTTCCACGATCCGTAAGTGCTTCGATACTACGCCGCGAAATGGATAGCTGATAATATGTAGACCTGAGATTGTGGGACAGCCTCATCCCGTGACTAATAAGTTGGAAGCGCACAATGTTTGGATGGTACGTGATCTGAGATGATTGATTGAGATTGTCTGCTAACATAACACAAGGCTGATTCGCTCACGGAGTATGTCAAATGGATCGTGGGTAAGGGCTACGCGGTGATCGATGTCAACGTGCCCAAGCACGTATCTCGGGAAGGGGTAAGTCTAGCTGTGCACTTCTTTGTACGGGCCATCGACTAATTTAAATGGTTTTAGACTGCGGGTCGATACGAGGCAGACGACGAGGACCGTCCGTCTGCCACCGAAGAGCTTGCCGGGTACTTGTGGGATAACTACATTGAGTAAGCTATGGCCAGTCAAGAAAATTGGTTATTATTGAGCTGACAAGTTGTCAAAAGTGCGAACCAGGCAACCGACATCTTCCTCCTCGGTGTTGGCAACGCTTTCCTCGGCGTGGCGAACTTGTTAATCAATAGGGGTACGTTCAGGCCCACCGGGTATCAGGCTGTGGAAATTTGCTAATACCCTAGTAGAAAACCTTTACAAGCGTGTGAACGGCGTGATCTCCTTCGTATCTGAGAACCCAGTTCGCGCGATCGCATCTCACACACAGACCTGGCTATCGAAGTGGTACCGCGAGGTAAGCCACCCACAAGTTATTTGTTAGCGATACCCTTTACTCACACTATCTTTTTTACTTTAGAACTCCATCGTGTTTGTTTCAAACTCACACGGCATTTGGGATATCCAAGACCGACGGCCTTCTAAGCGCTACGGGAAGCTGGTTCATTCCCCGAAATTCGATTTGAACGAGATGCTTGACGAGCATAAGGAGGAAGTGTACAAGTGGATTTCCGAGCGTGCTGACCGGGCGGAGGAGGAATCGGATGAAGATTCTTGATTTGCTGATTCCTGATTGAGGGCCGGTGAATCCGTAGAATTCCCAAGGTTGTGTGCATGGAGTTATGCGGTCTATTATCGAAGAATTTCTTTTTTTTTTTTTTTTCATATCCTAGTAATGACATGAAACTACCTTGCCAGTTACTATTTTGCTTATATTTACTTAACTAGGGGAATTCCATAAGTCCCCCACAGATAAAAATAGGTTAAGGAAACTATTATAGTAACATGTCTCTCTTCGATCTTTGTTCCAATACCTTCTCGTCCACCAGAGGAGGAAGATATCAAGATGTCAAGATGTCAGACGCAGACCCCCACCTCTCGAGTGAAATCAGCACAGTTTTTGAATATACAATTTGAGACATTTGTGACTTCACTGCTGTGACACATCACCAACCATATCGCGGGGTATTAGCGGTCTATATGACAAAGCAGTAGGTATGACCTGGTTTGAGGCAACTCTCTAGATACATACATCGTATAATTAATTTCATAGTGTGGCGTTGGTCTACATACCGTCCCTGGGATGTAGCGATGTCTCACTTTGTACCCCAGAAACCCCACAGCACCACACGGCTTTAGCCACTTTCATAGTTATGCAAGAAGAACCCTCGGGTTGTTATATTTCTCTCCACACTTGACATGCATAATCGGAGATATCATGTTAATCCACCATGGTTGCTTTCGCCTATGAGTGAATACATCCAATGACTGGGTCGGAGCGCTCTGAGACATCGTATTCTTTCCCTACACCCATGGATTCTTTTCATTTCTCGTGTCTTCACTAACATCGACCTTAGAAAACTCTTTGACCGTGCGATGTGGGGATTTTGTAAGATTTTACGAAAAATTCCTATTTTTGGTCCTGTGATGGATGGCCTGACCGCTGCCTCACGTGGGTAGGGCTTCAATAGGTTGATGTGGGATGAGATGTCTTGGATTTGGTGAGTGAAATCGTCATCTGTTCCATTGCCAACACTGCTTTGGGAATCAAATCCATACTCGGATCAAAAGTCAAAGGGGGACTAGGTATAGGGTAGATTTTCATTGTTCAATCCACCAGCAGAGAAACTATATAAGAGGCCTCGAATCCTACGCAAGAGAGATAATCTCATCATTTCAATCAGACTTCACTACTTGATACCAAACCAACTCAATTCGCCTACGAAATGCACTTCTCTACTGCTGTTATTGCCTCCGTTGCCGCTCTGGCACCTCTTGCCACCGCTGTTGGCAACGCTGTCGTGACCAACCAGTGCGACTTCCCGGTCTACCTGTGGTCCGTTGGTGGCAGCGTTGGCCCCAAGCAAACCATCCCGGCAGGTGGCAGCTACACCGAAGCTCTGCACCACGACAGTGCCTCCGGTGGCATCTCGCTGAAAATCACCACCGTCGACGACGGTTTGTACAACGGCAGCCCTCAGACCAACTTTGCCTATACTCTGGACCCAGGCACCGTTTGGTACGACCTGTCAGATGTCTTCGGTGACCCATTCTCCGGCAAGTCGATTGTCGTGCGGCCTACAGACACGACTTGCTCGAACATCTGCTGGGCGCAGGGTGTCAACCCCGGTGGCAGCCAGACTAAGAACTGCAACTCGGACACTAGTATCGACCTGACCCTCTGTGCAGCCCAGTGTTAAGCGCCTGGCCCTATAGTTATGTGATAGTTCGATGTAATGGTGGGAGCAGTGTCCACTAGCACGTGTGAGTTGACTAGCCGAGCTGCAGGGAAGACGATGAGCTTCGACGTGGGACCAGTTAGGACCCTGACGCGTTATGTAGCTAATATGATAATGTGGAAAGGTATTATATTTGTTTTATTCTTTACAAAGTTCAATGCTAGATATAAGTAGACACGCGTCTGCCTTATAAGAAATACGCCACCGATAGGTAGTAAGTCGCTTAGTTATTAGGGCTACAAGGGCCTACTGTTAGAGAGGAGGCCAGGGAATATAAAATAGAAGTACTGAGCACACTGGAAACTCTCTGAATTGCGTTAGGGAGAAGAAGAAACTACGTACAGTAATTCCTACTAAACGACATCTTTGATCTACTATAGACATGTCATTCGTTCAGTCCACACTAGATAAATTCATCACAACTCTAAATCTGCTCTGTCAACTGCAGATTCAAATGAACTGATTTGAGTTGCGAGTACGCATTTAACCCTGCCTGGCCTAACTCTCTTCCAATACCACTCTGCTTCACTCCACCAAAAGGAACGCAGAAATCACTGTTGTTGCTGGAATTAATCCAGACCATGCCGGCTTTCAACTTGTTAGCCACGCGATGAGCCCGCGTAATATCACTTGAGCATACAGCCGTGGCAAGGCCATATTCTGTCGCATTCGATAACCGGATTGCTTCTGCCTCGGTTGAGGATTTGACGAAGACCGCAAATGGCCCGAAGATCTCTTCTTTGTAAATTCTCATATGCGGCTGCACATCACGAACGATCGTAGGTTCCACAAAGTATCCTTTGCCGTTGGGTCGACCTTCGGCAGCCTTGCCGCCGGCAACGATTGCGGCACCTTCCTCCTGGGCAATTCTGCCATATTCGAGAATCTTTTCAAATTGATCCTTGGAGACTTGGGGGCCTTGGTACGTTTCCCCCTCGAATGGGCAGCCAATGACTTGGACCTTCGCAACGTATTCTTTGAAACTTTGAATGAAAGTGTCGTAGATATTATCGTGTACAAAAATCCTGGATGTTGCGGTGCAGATTTGGCCCATGTTGCCCATCACACCGTAATGTGCCCACTTGACTGCATTGGGAATCTGAGCATTATCGAAGATGATGATAGCGCTTTTCCTTCCTGTCTCAAGCGTGATGTTTTTCATGGTATCACTGGCCATCCGCATGATCTGTTTCCCTGTAAGAAAACAGCATGTACAGCATCGCCGTAATCGTCTCTCACGGAGGTCCATGGGATCAGCTCCGGGTCATTGCTCATAGGGAAGACTTTCAAACTGAGAAAGCCTTCTGAGTCTGGAATGGTCGCGAATCCGCCGAATGCATTCGCGTACGTCTCCATGAAGAAAATATCCATAGCCCAGCCAGAATTGACCTCAACAAAAGCCTCAAACCCAGCCTTACGCCCGTAGTTGGCAATGGCGTTCTTGTTGTCGAAGGAAACGATGGAAGCTTCTCCATTCGTAAGGCGGTTACAATGTGGAAGTCCTGAGAAAACAAAGTATTTGACACTTTGACGGATGGCAGCGTCGATCACGATCTTGCCCATGGCGTATTCCGGAAGTCCGACCTCATTTTTGAAGTTCGGGTCGTCTGAGTCTGTGTTGAGAAACACACCATAGGCGCCCGCCAACACCGAATCGAGCTCGGCAGCATTCCAGGAGTCGGCCTTTATCAACAAATATCCCTGCTCGCGACACTTGCGGGCTGTGGCCGAGTTAGGATCGCGCGTTGTCAACACAACTTCGAACTCGGAATTGTCTTTCAGGGAGCGAGCGAGCGAGCCGCCAAACATTCCAGTACCGCCAATCACAACGATCTTTTTTGGTGAGGCCATAGCTGTTAGGTAGGTGTCAAATATCTTAACCGAGGTTGTGAAAGAGTGTTGAAGAGTGTGAGGGAGATGGGTTTGAGAAGGAAGAGACAAAGCAGTTGCTACACGCACCAGTCATTTGCAATATATAACTAACTTCGCCATAATGAAGTGGATTTGACATACGCTCAAGGTTAAGGTTATCCATGATGCCAGCTACCGGTTCGGGATCTGCTACTCCATTCTTCCCGTCAACCATCGACGAGTCATCGGCAATCTTTTTCTCTGGGTTGAGAGGAACGCGGTTGGCCATGTTGTCGTTGTGGGTTATTTAACCTAGGTTGTGGAAGACACGTCAAGAGAAAGACTTAAATAGATACATCGGCTTAGTCGACAGACGATAGGAATTTCACACGTTAGGAATGCTTCCTTTCGCTCTAGGTGTCATGAAATTTCCCAACGTATGCGAGAACAATTAGGGGGACTTTGTGAATTGGATTTCATATGTAGGAAAGCAACAAACCTACTTTATATATAGCATAAGTTCATACATTTACCAACTCACTGGATGCAAACCTAAAGAACGAGTTTTGCCGGTCCCAAGGTCCGGTGGTTTGCGGGGGAGGGGAGCCTGAAACTTTCGCAAAAGATAAGACGAAACCAATCTCGCTTCCATTCCCAATATGGAATACGTGATGCTCAAAACGGTAAACCAGAACTAGCCATGAGGCTACAAAGATTTAGAGCGCTAGCAAACTTTGATGTGAACTATATTTCCAGTAATTCTGGAACCCGTGTCGGCGCCCAAAACGGCAATTTTTGAGTAAGGGCCGGAGGTGTTCGACACTCTTGTTGGTTGAATATGCCGAATGTGGATTGAATGGTTTGTCATCACTATCTAGGTCATAGCCTTGGTCGGCTATGATGCTGCTTGCATTATAGACGACCAGACGACACGACACGTTACCAGCCTAGCTACTGTAGTGGGGAGAAAGGCTCTCTACTACGCATTGCCCTCGCCTCTTCTTTCTTACTTTTCTATAATTTTGTTATATAAGCGTTGGGTTATGAGGTGATAAGTAGCAGATAGATATAGATTGAGAATATATACTCCTATGCTTCTCTGAATCTACTTCCTAGGTAGTATACCTAGGTTCCTTTATATATAAAGTTAGGTGTAAAGCTAAACTACGAGTACTAAATCGACCTATATACCATAGAGTATATAGCCTTAAGCGTATTACCAGCTAGTTATTTAACGAAAAGAGTATATTTTAACTAGAATAGAAAGCATAGAGGGGAAAGGAAAAGAAAGAAAGGAATCCCTAAGATAGGATCCTTTATAGGATCCTATCACAACCAATCAAATAAACATTACAAACGTCGTCGCTAAAGCGGAAGTCTCTGGCAGAGTTTACCTTGATAACCCTATATTGTCATATATAGGACCTATAAAGGATCTTTTGTTTCCTTTCTCTTACTCCTTATACTTAGTATTCTAGTTGAAATGCATTTTTTTCGTTAAGGAACTGGCTGGTAACAATATACATATCACCTGTATCATTAATTCTAAGTCAAAGCAATAAAGTACAAAGAATATAAATTAACTGAGAAATCCGACTAAGAAAAAACGAAGCGGAAGTGGTCGAAGATCTTGATTGAGATTAGGAAGCATAGAAGAGCAAAGAAGCCGGGATTAAATTGACTCTATATATTAAAAATGTAGTATCTAATTGATCTATTTCCTATATAATATTGGTTAATTTACTATATAACTAGTTACATAGTAGATGGTAGTTATATTGAAATGTATAAGAAATGTATAAGAAATATTCTATATGGGTGGCGGACCCTCACTTGCGAGGGTCTGTAATAAATGAAATTTATGAAAGGGCCGGTAAGTATTAATTCCGCCTTAATTTCGACGATAGCGAGGTTTTAATAGAACGATTCTGGGCTTATAACTGATAGAAAGCTGGTATACGAACAATATATAGTATAGATAACCGGTAACTTAACAACTTCAACTAACTAAAAATGATAAAATTTGCTATTTCAACAATCTGCGCGGACATTGAGGACTGACTGTAATATGCACTTCTGTATGCTATGCCTGGTACCAAGTGTCACATGATTTTGCTGGGTAAAATCTGTGCTCCCGAGAGGTTTGCAGGGTTTGCTTACTCTCGGTGCCTGAGGCAGCCACTTGCTGGATGCCTCAGGACAATACTTCTTGGCACTCGGCCAAGTCATTGGTAGCGAGTGCCTATTACCAAGGGGTTTTCTCTGGGCCAAGCCCTTGCTTGGCGCTGATGTAATACATTCTGTATTTAGCTAGTAATTACTACTACCCAATGAAAACCATGCGATCCTAACAGAATCTCATCTGGTAGCATGTCTTGCTAAGGCCTTACCTCCTACGGTAAGCTGGGAGGAGGCAGTGGCATCCACGGAGGAAGCCATGCTTCCTCGCCGGTTCCTGGGACCAACAAGCATACCCAGGAAGCCAGGCAGCAGGTGAGGGCTTCGAACAAGCCCCTGCCGCGAGGAATTTTCGATCCAGGGACCATGAAACAGAGTGCGGTGGACCTCTCACCAAGCCGGTACCAAAGACTTGGTGATAGAGGTACACCAAGAAAAACTCTGCGAGAGGTCAAGGATCCGTATCCTTGGGGGCGAAGTGGGGGCCCCCAAGAAGCAGAAGCAGTTGGGAAAGGAACAGAGCAAGAAGCTCCTAAGACTAAGCACCAACTTGCCGAAACCCCAATTGAAGCCACTTGTTACAATGGAGAACCAACCCTTTGAAGAAGAGCAACAGTTCCAGCAAGCGGAGACGACCCCGCCGACGGACCAGGCCGTGACGCCCGGAATCTTTAGGGCTCACCTGCCAGCGAACATGCAGAGGGCCTTCGACCGCTTGCCGGAGCCGCTGCAAAGGCTGGCAATCTTCCAACAAGTGACCAACAGCCCGGAAATGATGGCCGTGCAATACGAGGCCATCGTTACGATGTCGACAACGTTCGACCCGGGACTGGCTCAGAACCCAAGGGCCATGGAGCCAAAAGTCGGCCCTCACCCAGCGGAGATCGCGGGCCGCCTAAAAGACTTAGGCCAACCGGCCAAGTACCAAGGCAACCAGAAAGGCAACGCTGCTAACCACTGGCTGTACGACGTCGACGACTACTTCCTGCGCCGCCAAATGGTGAGCGGCCGAAGCGACGACGAGACGTACAAACTAGCCTTTGCCTCGGGCTTGCTGGCCGGAGACGCCCATGTGAAATGGAGGACGGCCAACCAGCAAGTAGACGCAGGACTTGGCGAACGGATCACCACATGGGAGAACTTCAAGGCCTGGGTTCGGACCAAGTTCGAACCAAGAACGGCAGAGTCAGATCGCTTGCGCGAGTATACGCACAAGCAACAAGGAAATGACTCTCTATCCGCGTACCACGCCGCCCTGCTGGAACTCTCCCGTAACTTACTAGAGAGCCCCTCGGAAAGAGGATATATTCTGCAACTAGTATCGGGACTGAACCCGACCCTCCGTGCAGAGTGGTTCAGGCAGCAGGGCCGACCCGAGACCAACGTCGAGGAAGCGGTCAACCTCCTGCTGGAGCTTGAACGAAGCGCGCAGGAAGCAACCGCGTATGGCCGCCCAGCACGTTATGTTAGGAATGGGCGTACTGCCCCGCTTCCCGACGCCATGGACCTATCGGCCATGCAGGACACGAGGACTTGCTATAAGTGTGGCAAGCCAGGACACATCAAAAGAAACTGCAAGGTCAAGGGAAAAGGACAGGGTCAGCAAGCTTAGGCGAGCCTGCTGACCCGCTCACCAAGCCACGTCGCCCCGACAAGCAAAATGACGGGCTTAGCCAAAGCCGGAAAGGGCGGGACACCCAACGAGCCGTGATGAGACTAAATGCTCTCGGGGAAGACCTTAACTTCTTCGACGGCTCGCTCCATCGCCCCGCCGCAGCCGGAAACCCCATCGCTTGCCGTATGCTGCTAGATTGCGGAGCAAGCCATACATTTGTATCGTTGAAAACCGCTCGCCGCCTAGGTGGCAAGTGGGACAAGCGCAGATCGTTACCAGTGTCATTACCGAACGGCGAGACCCTGTATACCCAGGGTACGATGGAACTGGTGATTCGCCTGGGCAAGTGGACCGGTACGAAAGTGGTGTGGGCAGTCAACGTGGAAGGATACGATGTAGTACTCGGCAACGACTTCCTATGCGAGCACGACCCCCACGTTAGCTTCCCCACGAAAAGGATGTGGCTCACCGACCATAATGGAGATCACGAAGTGCAGGCAGCGGACGGCCGTGCACTTAGTGGGGAGGAGAAAGGGACGTTGAACTTACTGTCAAAGAGGGAGGTCCGCCGGTCCCTAAAAGATAAGAACACCGAGTACGCAGTCTTTTATGCCACGGCGAGCGAGGACCATGAACCAACGACCAACGACCCTCGCTTGGCCAAGCTGCTCAGGAAGTTCGCCGACGTCTTTCCCGACGACTTGCCGAAGGAGTTACCCCCCGAACGCAACTTCGTCCACCACATTGATACCGGTACCGCCGACCCGGTAAACATGAATGCTTACCCCCTGTCCCACGAGAAGCTCGAGGAGCTTAGGAAGCAAGTGAAGGACTTGCTGGATAGGGGATTGATCCAGGTGTCAGCCAGTCCCTGGGGATTCCCGGTGGTGTTCGTCAAGAAGCCCGAAGGAGCGTGGAGAATGTGTATCGACTACCGCGCCCTTAATGAACTCACCGCTAAGAATGGATACCCCATCCCGAGGATTCAGGACTTGCTGGACATCGTCGGCCAGGCCAAGTACTTGTCGAAGATCGACTTGGCGGCCGGATATTGGCAAGTACGGATGGCCAAGGAGGCAATACCAAAGACAGCCTTCAACACCATTTGGGGGAAGTACGAATGGAGAGCAATGCCATTTGGGCTTTGTAATGCGCCAGCCACCTTCCAGACATTAATGAACGAGACACTTCGCCCTTACCTAGGCAAGTCGGTCGTGGTGTACTTGGACGATATACTGGTATACTCAAGGACACTTGCAGAGCACTACACCCACTTGGAGGAAGTGCTGCAGTGCTTGCGCAAGCAGAAGCTCTATGCCAAACCGAAAAAGTGCGTGTTCGTCACCAAAGAGTTGGAATTCTGCGGCCATATCATCGGGGACGGCAAGATTCAAGCCGTCACGATGAAGCTAGATGTCATCAAGGAGTGGCCCCGGCCAACAAATGTCAATGAAGTTCGCCGCTTCCTAGGCTTGGCCACCTACTACCGACGCTTCGTCAAAGACTTCGCGAAAATAGCGGTGGCCTTGCACAACTTGACCAAGGAAGCCGACGAGAAACTGCGCAAGCAAAAGTTCCGGCCGATCACTTGGACCGAGCAATGCGAAGTGGCTTTCATACGCCTAAAGGAGGCACTTGTCAGCGCCCCAGTGCTTGTTCAACCTGACCGGGCCAAGCCTTTCACGATAGAAACCGATGCCTCCGAATGGGCGATCGGCTTTGTGCTCTGCCAAGTGGGTGACGACGGGAAGACGCACCCAGTCGCCTTCGACGGCCGCAAGCTAAAAGGCGCAGAGTTGAACTACCCAGTACATGAAAAGGAGCTCCTTGCGATCAAGGAAGCCCTCCGTACTTGGGACAGGTACCTGGAGAATGGAACAAGGACCACGGTCATCACGGACCACGAGGGTCTTCAATACCTGGCAACCACGAGAGCGTACAGCAAGCGACTTGCTCGCTGGATTGACGAGTTCCAGGCATATGACCTCGAGCTACGGTACCGGAAAGGAGAGGAAGCAATTATTCCCGACGCTATTAGCCGGCGCCCCGACTTTCTCGGAGAGGGACCAGCTAATATGGCCTGGGAAGCACCTGCTTGGGGAAAACTAAACATGATGACAAAAGTGGGCGGATTCGACGAAGCGGAATGGCTTGCCGCCACCATTCAATATATGTCGGCCGGTAGCTTGCCGGACGACAAGTCGCTTCGCCGAGAAGTCATGCGTTGGGCTGGCAAGCTCGCGATACACGAATCGCCCTTGCCGACAGCTGCAACGCAGGAAGAGAATACGAAGCTTACCTACCTATATGGGGACGGATCCTCCGCCCCATATCTAGAGCCGCCTTTCAGGAAGGACTTCCTGAAGCGGATGCACGAGGAATATGGACACTTGGGCCACCCAGGCCTGCGCGGAGTGCTCCGTACCCGCGCTTGGTGGCCCGGAATACGGCAGGACACCGAGGAAGTAGTGCGCCTTTGTCCGAATTGCCAAGTGTCGAAATCGAGAAATGAGAGTTTCGAGCGAGAAGCGTCCCAGTACTTAGCGAGCGCGGGCATCAAGCCTTTTGAACGATGGGGCATTGACCTTATCGGCTTGCTACCCACGACGCCAAGCGGCAACCGATGGATTATTACGGCGATCGATTACGCCACTGGCTGGCCACTTGCAAAAGCCTTGCCGGAGGCCACAGAGGAAGCTGTCGCCGAATTTCTCCACGACGACATCTTCACGGTGTATGGCGCACCTGCGGAGTTCTTGACGGATAATGGCGCCAACTTGCTCGCGGCCTCGGTACAGTACTTTATCAAGCTGGTAAATGCGAAACACCGGACAACGACGCCATACCACCCACGAACGAATGGGAAGGTAGAGAATCTCAACGGCTTGCTAGGACGAATGCTCACTAAGTATTGTATGGGCAAGCCCACCAGAGTATGGGATCTTTACTTGGCCCAAGCCCTGTTCGCCACAAGGGTTAGGGAACATGCAACGTCAGGCAAAAGTCCCTTTTACTTAGTATACGGGACGCATCCACGCTTGCCAGGGGATACCGAGCCAGTAACCTCGTCCCGGGACCCGGCGGAGCTGGATAGCAAGATCCTCGCTGTTAATCATGCAAGAGCCGAGGCCAATGAGAGATTGTTGCACAAGGCCATCCGGGCCCAGAAAATCCAGGATGAGAAAGTGACCACTTGCTCACTGCAGCCGGGCAAGTGGGTACTGGTTCGGAACGAGGCAAAACAGAAGTTCGAATCACAGTGGTTCGGGCCGTATAAGATCCTGAAAGCCCACCCGCTTGGCACGTATGCACTTGCTGAGCCCAATGGCCGGGTACTGAGGAACTTGGTGAACGGCCGCCGCCTTGTCGACGCCTTTGTCGATAACCCCAACCAGCTGTGGACGTCGTCAGGCGGCAAGCATCGGCTTCGACGGGAAGGTATGGATATTCGGCATCCGCTCGATGGCGGAGAAGTGGTTGATATGGACTCCGACGAACCGCCTAGTTACCACGAATTAGCCACTATTTCTCGAGCCGAGTGGGATGCAATGGAGCGTTCAGGGGTACGCTCACGCTTGGTGGGGAGGGAGGAAGTGCTTAGAAATATCGCAGCGAAAGCGAGGAAGCAACCACTACCCGCCAAGAGAACGAAAAAGACGGTACCTGCGCCGGAAGCAGAGGATATGGCGCACGCGCCGGATGAAACGTTGCCGCAAGCGGCTAGGGTCCCCACTCAGCAAGTGGGGGAGACCCGAAGGAAAGGTCTAGAAAGCACAGTCCCTGCCCAAGGAGAGGTAGAGGAAGTCCAACAAGTGGACTGGACAACCACCCAGGGAGAGGTAGAGGAGTCCCAGCGAATAGACCGGATATCCACCCAGGGAGAGGTGGAGGAGTCCCAACGAGAGGACTGGATACCTACCCGGACAGAGGTAGAAGAGTCCCAACAAGTGGACTGGATACCCGCCCAGGAAGAGGTGGAAGAGGTTCCACGAGAGAACCTAGTTGACGACAACGCCCCTGAAAAGGATGGCCAAGGAGATCAGCACATGGAGGACGCTCCGACGCTGCAGCAAGTATCTCCATACCTTTTCCGCAGGCCACGTCGCTATGCGATGGATTCGCAATAAGAAGGATTCCGCTGCCGCAGCAAGAAAGCGAGCAAGCGAAGACTTACGAAATACTACGAAGAGACAATCTACAAGGGACTACGAGGAAGTCATTGATAGAACCACAGTCTTTGTATTCGGCAAGTACAATTTAAAAGCTTCAACAAGTGCCCAGCAACCTAGATATCGTCAACATGATCAGCCCAAACAGAATCCACTTCTCCACTAACTACAGCTCGCTCCATTGCTTCCTGACCCCGAAGTGACTCCAAACCACGCAAATCCCGACGTACAAGACCAATATTAACCTGCATCTGAGCTATCTCCTCCGTTAAACGACGTTCCATCCGCAACCTAACATCTGGGGAGGCCTCAAAAAGTCCACGGGTAAGCACACTGCGCCACTTGGGGGTAATGGGGGCACCTTCCTCGGACACTTCCTCGCTTGATTCAACATGGGGGGAAGGGGATACATCGGCGGCGGAGGGGGAGATGCGGGGGCGTTTGCGAGACAGGCGGGTAGAAACCGAACTAAGGAAGCGGGAAGCAGCAGAGCGAGGGGGAGTAGAGGGGGTCGGGGGCTGGGTTGGGGGCTGGGTGGGGGACTTGTTAGTGGGAGTGACCGCCGGGAACTGGAACTCGGGGGAGTGCACACGAAGCGCGTCCAGAGCCCAGGCAGGGGCATCAACGCGCAAGGAGCAAGCGCGAGCCACACCTGCGAAGTGACAACACATGCAGGAACCCAGGCTGACCACAGTGCTCTTGACCGAGCTTTCACGGAAAGCTACGACTCGGCAAGAAGCAAAGCAGCCAGCACTGCGTCGGCACCGGGCACACTCCTCCCCGGAGGGAGCAGCGACACCGATGCACTGGCCAATGACGGCCACCTGATGGTTGTGGGACGTGACCGCACGAAGTTGGAAGGTATCATCAACTTGGGGCCAGTCCACATCACCTCCGATCCTCACCCACTCTTCCTGCAACGCAGCCAGCATACCACGCACTTCATCGGGAAGGACTGGTTGCAGGGCATCATCGAGGCCAGTTGGCAACTCGGTGGCATCCTCAGCGTCAAGATTGACGAAGCGAGGGGACGGAGACGGGTCGGCTACATAAGTCAGTCAGCAAGTGGGGGAGCCAATGTGGAGTAGGAAGTAAGACTTACCAGAAAGCTGCGAGGCTCCGACGGAGGAGGTCTCCATGTCAAGTGGGTTTTGCGACACCGACAAGGGAGACGAAGCACCAAGGGACCGGAGGTCAATGGCGTTTCCCTCTGAGTTCTCAACGGGGGCGGCGAGAGGGTCAGACGAGGGCCCGGCAGGAGAGTTTACTGCGGGGAACGACATGGTCACTACAGCAAGTGACGAGTTAGCACCTGGCGAGGTCGACATGGGGATGGATCACTTACCAACAAGTTGATCAATGTCGACAGAAAGTGGAGTGGGAGATGAGACTGAGGAATAAGAAGAGGAGAAGGTTTTCTCTAAGGGGAAAGATGGGGGTATTTATGCTTAGGCAGGCTTGTTTGCCATATTAACCGAGCAGGCAAGAACAAAGAGAACTGCTTGCTGGAGCACAAAGAAAGGGAAGCAATATGCACTTAGCAGTTCTCTCGCCTTCTAATGCCCCCAAACAAAGCACTTGTTGGCCCCTCATCCTACTGGGCCTACTATATTGCCTATTCGGGGAGTCTGTATGGCCTCATTTTTACAGCTTCCGGGGCGGTAAGCTAGATCTGGTGGGGAGGGATGTGCTCCCGAGAGGTTTGCAGGGTTTGCTTACTCTCGGTGCCTGAGGCAGCCACTTGCTGGATGCCTCAGGACAATACTTCTTGGCACTCGGCCAAGTCATTGGTAGCGAGTGCCTATTACCAAGGGGTTTTCTCTGGGCCAAGCCCTTGCTTGGCGCTGATGTAATACATTCTGTATTTAGCTAGTAATTACTACTACCCAATGAAAACCATGCGATCCTAACAGAATCTCAAATCCTGTTCCCACCATGTACTCGACTCGGTATTCGATAAAGATGATGGACGGGACGATACAAAAGGCCGGCGGTCAATTATGGTGTTAATAGTCACCCCGGGTCCGAGCCGAGGCTCGGGGTGATGATTCATCACTAAAATGATAGTATAACTTCACGGTTGACGTCGGAAATTCAGCATCTATTGTTTTAAGTAAAGAAAATGTCTTTTCTTTTCGGCAAGAGCCACTCCTTTGACCCTAGAAAGGATATTCCAAGCCTTTCTGGGCGGGTCATTCTGGTGACTGGGGGCAACAATGGTCTCGGAAAAGAAACCATAAAGCAATTGGCGGCGCACAATCCCACAAAGATATATATGGGCGCTCGCAGCGTCAAGAAAGCAGAAGAAGCAATTCTTGATATCAAACGAGAGGTTCCTTCCGCGGAGATCTTGTTTCTGGACATAGATCTTGCGTCTTTCGCCTCCATTAAACGCGCGGCTGAAATATTCCTGTCCACAAACGACCGTCTCGATATTCTTATCAACAACGCCGGTATCTTTGCTCCTCCGCCAGGCTTGACCAAGGATGGTTATGAGGCCCAATTTGGCACAAATTACATGGGTTCGGCACTACTGACTCGACTACTTCTACCGATCCTCACCAAGACTGCTGATACTAGGGCTGATGTTCGTATTGTAAACATTAGCTCTGAGATATACCGAAACGCTCCCAAAACCGGTATACTTCTCACGCAGGTGAAGACACCGCTCACCGAGATCAGCACCGTCGCCCGTTATGGTCACTCCAAACTCGCCAACATATACTTCGCGAGGTCTTGCGCCAAGAAGTTTCCTAGTATCAAGTCGGTTTCTCTACACCCCGGGCTTGTCCGGACGAATATTGCAGGTGGAATGACAGCCAACCCAGTACTCTCTTTTATCTTTCGGCTGTTCAGCTCAGTGGCTTCCGTGGATGTTCCTACTGGCGCGCTCAATCAGCTATGGGCAAGTACCGCTGACTCTGCTGAAGTGAAGAACGGAGCGTACTACATCCCTTTCTTCAAGGAAGCGAAAAGAACGGGCATCGAGAGTGACATGGACAAAGCGGAGGAATTGTGGCAATGGACGGAACGAGAGTTCAAGGAACATGGCTTTTAGTAATCTTGTAATATACTTCGTCCCGATAGTTTAACGTTGTCGCGCTGATCTTAATGATGTTTGACCTGACACAAAGCACTTCTGTAGTTATCCCTCCCAATTTCGATGTAGTCATCTACCATCTGACGTTATTTACAATAGTCTGAGAAGCACTGATCTCCAGTTGCACTGATATTAACGTATGTATGTTTTGGACATGGTGCTCAGGGCTGGACGAGGGATCAGGAGGACTCTATCATACATCGTTCTTGGGTCATGGGCCCTCTCTTTGGTTCGGCTTTCCTCGGTCTTGTCCACTCTCTTCGAAGCTGAGACGGGCATTGTTAGTTTGTTCGGCTAGAAATGACTGAACTTTCGCCTCACCTTCTCCATGCAAGCAGACTCGACAGTACGCAAATACGGCTCTAAAAGGACAATGCATCGGCTCCTCCCGATGTCTTTAGGTTTCCAGGCTCGAAAGACGCTAGACGCCATCAGAGGACAATGATGGTCACCCACTGGACACCGCGGATCCAAGCCGCAAGTAGGCTATTCCCTGTGGGCGTTCAAATGGCGAGAGAAAGACACTGCTATGCGCCCCGTTGGGTCTTGCAGCAGGTAGAAATACCAACGCATAATCGGTTCGAAGCCTGATATTAAGCTTTTAATTCACTTAATCGGGTAGAGACTTCGGCACAACCCACTCTAACCCGAACCTAACCCAACCCAAAATGGGTTTTAGATCCATTGCTTTGACCTAACGATAGGTTTCGGGTTATAACTAATAACCCCAAACCCTGAAACCAACGTATATATGCTTTGGACACTTTATAGGAGGATTTAGTATATATTATAGGTGTCACTATCTACGTGATCACATGCATGCTTTCTTTGTTTACTAGCACGTAATATTAGACCTCGAACCTATAAAGATAGTTAGTAGATTATGTAAAACTATTAAATAGAAACCTACTTTGTTTAAAGGATCGATAATCTTATATTTCTATTATTTTATACTTGTATTTAAACGCAATTTTTAAGCTTTATTTCTTTTAGATAAGTTTTCCCGCTATTTTATAGTAAGAAATATAATTCTAATCTTTTTAATTTCTAGCTTTATATGGCTATAAGCCTCTGGAACTTCTTTAATAGAGATAGAATATCAATTATATATAAATAGATATATCAACTAGGCCAAGCTTTAGTAAGGCTTTTAAAAAGCGTTCTCTACTAATTTATATCTTATGAATTTATGAATATAAATCCTGGTCTTTATGATAAAGTATTTAGCCATAATTTCCTCTTTTAAGAATTCTATATAAGATTCTAAACGCTTAAATTCTTACTATTCCTTTTACATAAATTATAACTAAGTCTATATATATCGGTAAAAGGGGTTTAACTTTATCGAGGATCTTACAGAGTTCTTTAAGATGGCTAATCTTCAATCTATCCTATTATAAAGCCCAGCGGCTAGCCGATAAGTCCCAGGGGGCCAAAATAAAGCTCGCCACCACGATAACCTGACGAGAATAAAGTACTATTACTATAAAATAAGCATTCTGTCTATCTATCTTTTTATCTATATATATAGATAAAGTATTAGCTAATTGGTCCGTAGAGATCGATAAAAATGGCCTCTGATTCTACGCCGAGGCAGGGGCGAATGTCGTCTCTCCCTTTGCCAACCGGTGAATCTGGTTCGCATAAAAGGTCTGATTTACAATTAGCATTCACAATTTCAATGATAGTTGAAGCTGTGGATTGACGCCAAAAGAATAAAAGAAAGAAAAGAAAACTTACAGTCTCAGCACCCGCACCTAGAACTTGACTGCGAAGCAGCCTGGGAAGGAAGCCAGGTCGGACCCGGCTGAGCGTGATCTGCGCATCCTCGTCTGATATGCTTTGATCTAAGAGCACTATTGGGAAGTTGGGATAGATGGCCGCTGGACGCGCCATACCGACTATATCACAGGCGTTCTCTTTAATCGCTGCCTCTGCACCAGAGCGACTACGGAAGCCGCCGGTCAACATCAGGACGAGATTTGGATACCGCTTGCGAGTCTCTTTGGCAAACTCAAGGAAGAAGGCCTCGCGAGCTGCGGTTCGTGCACTCTTCTGGACTGGCTGTGGCTTATCGCCCTCGACCATCTATGTAATATAGATAAATCGTATCAGTGATCATTAAGCATAAAGGAATGAATGGATCTGGCCTCTCTTACCCTTGGGTTCTCATAAGTGCCCCCACTGACTTCGAGGAAGTCAATGCCTGCTGTGACAAGTAGACCTATCTGAGACATTGTATCTTCAAGGTTTGCGGCTCCGTGGTCAGCCGAATTAAGTTTCACGCCGATACAAAAGTTGTGTGGAACAACCTCTCGGCATCCTTTCAGGATATCCAGAAGAAGCTTTGATCGTTTCTCTGGAGAGCCTCCGTAGTCATCGGTGCGAAGATTAGACTATTATAGGAAATCAGTTATATATCGCGGTAAAGCCCATTCCGTCCAACGTACCTTGGCGTTCAGAAATTGATCTATCCAGCGATATATGGTGAGTCAACGCATATAAGTAAACTACATGTCCTGCTTACCTAGGAGATAACCATGAGCTGCATGTAGCTCAATTCCGGAAAACCCACTGTCCGCCACCATACGGGCTGTATCCACAAATAGACGAATGACTCTGTCGATATCCTTCAGTGTCATTTCTCGGGGCTTTGGGAATGCAAGAGAAGTGACAACAGAATCTAAGAGGCTAGTACCAAGTGTCAACGGAATCGCGCTTGGTGCCATCGTAGAAGCAAAGAGACCTCTGCGCCCCGCGCCACGTAGTGATTGTTTTCCAGGGTGAGAAATTTGGACAATGGTGGGAGAACCATGCTTCTGACTGGCTGCGGCATATTTCTTCCACGACTCAAGATGTTTGTCGTTTGAGACCGCATTTTCGCCCTGGAAGGCAGGGTCCAAGAAGTTTCCGAGGTGATCAATATCGACTTGCACATTTCCTGCCAATTGCCCAAATATGCTTTGTTATTTCTGTTCTTATACTTTTTTCCTTTTTGATGCATTGGACTAGATATGCATGTAGAGGGTTGGCTTACCTGTGACAATCATGCCCCACCCACCCTCACTCCATTTGTTGTAGGCCTCGTTGAAGTCCTCATTGGGATTATTGTTTGACTGCGCCAGGTTCTCGGCCATTGCTGCCTGCGTAATTGTAAACATGTGCCGTTCAAGTTTGGTTGTTTTTTTTTTTTTTTTTCTTCGTAATTCATACCTTGGACAGCCGGTTGGGAAAGACCAACCCACAAGGCAGCTTGACTGGATCACTTAATACGGACGCCATGATGATCGAATTTGGCTGAAGGAACAAGATTTTGAAGGGCTCTATATATCAAAAATACAACGTGAAATAGGATATGTTCTTATAGTACATGAAGGGGTCGGAAGAATTTCAATGTAATTAGAGACTGATTACCGATCTACTCCGATGCTTTGGAAGCGGACGTATATTCTCGAACTTGCTAAGATCTGTGGTATCTGAGCATATGATTGTCCAGAATTTCATATGGGTGGGTCTATTCCAAACTATGCAAGAAGGCAAAACACTACAGAGTGAGAGAGGCAAATGGGAAATTTTCAACTCCACTTTTAGATGCGATCGCTGCAATTCAAACCCCCGATGCCATGATTACTATTTTCTCCGAGCCAACCTCTGGAATTTTTGTAAGTTTCACTTATCATATCTGTCAGGCTCAAAGTGAGACAAGGATATCACAGAAAAGAAACAAAATATTGTTCAGATCACGATGTTGTTCTGACCGAAGTATATGGGGTGTCAAACAGTTTGGCAACACTTTATTCGTCCACCCGACTAACTACTCAATGAATTTTTAATTTTTAATTTTTAATTTTTTTTCGTATTCACTCCACTGTATCTATTATTCAGCATCAAATTGAGTGAAAATTGATGGCCAGCCTCTTAGCCCATCTATGGTTCTGAAAGGTTTGCTATACTATCGGTTACCTTGCAGATTAAAATTGATTTGCGAGTCTCATCCGAGATTCACGCCAATGAATGCACGTTTTATTCGTATATATGCACGAATCCGCTCGTCGCGCCAAATTTACAGTTAGCGCATGCCGGGGCTTTGATTAGTCACGTTTACGCTTTTGTTTTGGTGGTAGAGCGGCAGAAAACGGGTAAGTAGAGCATTGATAGAAAGCTAGTAACTATTTCAACAATTTATGCGGACCTCGATGACTAACTATAAAATATAGTGGACATTTATATGGTATGCCTGATACATGATGTTTCCGGTATAATCCCCGGTTTCTACCATGTATTCGGACTTAGTAATCGACACCATATATAGTAAATCCGGGAGCGTTTTTCCTATTTGCTATTTACGTTCGCTACGAAATGACTGTTCAGTTATCCTGTTTTCTAACAAATTATTGAGTCCCGATGTTGAGTTTATGATTTATGCACTTACTACCTAACATCGGCGTATATAACGGGTTGAAACTACCTGAACAAGGAAGGTCATTCAATCCCAAATAGTAACTTAGTTACATACAGATATTGTGATAAGAAGCTTCTCTATTAGTACAAAGACATCCAGATCTGTATCGTTTGCTTCTAGGTAGCGAGAACAGGCATGAGATGGCAGCATGTCAGAGTATAGATATAGAAAGTGCGTATATTCTATCTTGAGAGCTCCCTCTCAACAATCCCCAGCAGCTGCACCAGCATCTATGCAATGCAAAACCTCATCAAACTCCTAAAGAGCACCACAGCAAACTATATAGCCGTCGACAACGACTACGTCTACTGGTTCGATTACTATGTCAAGTACATGCACCGGGTCGTCCCGCAACAAATCTGGGATTTTGTCTCCTTGGGCGACAAAGGGTCGGTCAATAAATACTTCGACTGCACACTTCGGGACGGCGACCACCATGACCCGCAGACCTGCCCTGTCTTATCCATCGCGATGTCTTACCACGTCGACTACGGCTTTAATGACGAGAAGGGATTTTGGGATGCCGTGGCCGCGCGCGGGATCCAGAAAGACTGGATTAGTTTCAAAGAATGGGATATTCTGAACCCTTGTCCGCCTAAAGATCCTTTGTGGCCGGATACATGTCAGACTGGTAAGGTTATGTTGGAGGATTACCCGCATCCGCCGGATAATATGACTTTCGCGAACCCCATGGATGTCATCAGCAAAAGCGGCGACAAATTCGACCCGTTGGAGCTGGACATCCTAACGACCTGGACGGAAATCATGTTTTGCTTTTGGGACGGGGACTACGACGACACAGCCGAGGCTCTCTCACTCCCTGTGTTTATGCTCGCACAGGCAGTCGAGTCAATGGAGCAGGTCAAACAACTCGGCAAGGAAGAAAAGGAGTTAGAGGAGACAGAGCTAATCATGAGGATTCTCACCGCTGTTCTGCTTGTTGTGCCCTTTGCCTTAGAGATTGTCGGCGAGGTTGCGGGGCTGGCTTGGGTGGTTGAGGCCGCGGTTGTGGTTGATATTGTTGGCAACGCGGCGGTGGGCGTGTATGATGTTGTCAAGAACAAGGCGAGTCCGGCTATGGCGGTGGTGGATATTCTTTTGGGTGCTATGGGGCGCAGGACGGGGAAAAATTATTCAAATGCGGCGTCGAAGAGGCGGGAGATGGGAGTGGAGGATGTGAGCAAGTTTGGGGATGTGTTTAACCGGCATGATGATGCGCTCAGGAAGATGATTCCTGTGGACAGGTGTAAGGCTTGATGGGATGTTTTATATCTAGTGAGTTCTGAAGCTAAGTAATTGTTTAATTGTTACAGGTGCTATAGTATAACTCGAATATAAAAGCTTCAAACGCAATAGCAGTGATATATAGGACTGAGAAAGAGTAACTACCACCCTCGTGATCATCATCATATACCAATGATATCCTTTTCACTGCAATAATCAACTTCCAAATATAATCCATCATTTCACTTCCCCTTATTCACCTTCCTCCAATCTACAAGCACAGCCTTACACATCCTCTCCATCGTGTACGTTTCTCTTCACGTTTGTTTAGACTGGAGTGAAGCTGTGTCCAATTTAGACACTACTAACCAGATTTTACCACGGCGCAAGACTAAAAGGCCCTGCGAGATGTTTTTCTACAGAAAAGAGCCTGGGCTTTAGAGCATGAGTTTGAATTTGTTGTCAGCGCTTGCGGTTACGGTGAGGATGACGAGACCGAGTCATCATGCTGGTAGATCGAATATATTCTAGCGCCTAACAGAAACATATTCATGTTTGCTACATTTCTGACTATGTCAAAAAGAGTGGTTTAAGTACAGCAAAGGCAGACAGTAGGCGACGACAAGGATCCAGGAGATAGCCAAAACCGACCGATAGTTTGGCCGTCCTGAGGGTTCAGAGCCCTCCATGCCCATACCCTAATTCAATATAGCGTAAACCTATATAAATTACATATACCACGAGATTTTCCTATTTATCCTATTTGACGAGCCTTAGGGTCACCCGCTGGTCACTGCCAGGTCTAGGGCCGGACCCGCTTAGGAGGTGGGTGAAAATGCGAGTGGGTTAAGACTTAATAACAGGTATATAGATAGTTAGATAGAGCTTCTAAATTTTACTAAAATTAAATCGATTCTATATCTTACTTATATAATTTAATTACATCTAAAAGATCTCCTTAGCTCAATAAATATTAATCTAAAAAATAATAAGACATTAATAATATACTCGGAAGAAACTAGGAATATTCTTTAGTAAGTAAAGAGATAGAAAGGAATTATTTATGGGTATCACCGCCTCGGCAGAGCAGCTGGGCAATATTTCCACTAGGCACAGCTTGATTAACATCGCCTTGTCCCTCAGTTGACTTTACAACATCCTCACCCACCCCCCTCCATTTGGTGTATAATCCCACATATATATTCAAACATATATAAACGCGTCTCATTTTTCGCCTCCCTGGAATTCCTAAGTGCATTGACCTTATCAATCACGTCATTGGCCTCTCCCTTTGACAACTGAATGCCTCCAAGGTCCTCTACAGCACATCTGTGTCACAAAGGTCTCATTCGCAGCTCAACCCGCCCTTATCCCGATTTGTTGTCACGCATCACTGTGACCAGTCCTCGTTCAGCACGGCCCGTACTTGTACCGATTCTTTCTTCCGTGCATTGGACCCGCCTTGCCTCATCTTCCCATTCAACTCTTAACTTCACCGCCACACCCCCGATCATGGCTCAAATCGAGCGTATCACAGAGAATTTGGAAAAGCCGGAGCTTGATGATCGTTCTTATCGGGTGATTCGTTTGCCAAACAAGCTTGAGGCCCTCCTAGTCCATGACCCGGACACCGATAAGGCCAGTGCGGCCGTGAATGTCAATGTGGGCAATTTCTCCGATGAAGATGATATGCCAGGAATGGCTCATGCAGTAGAGCATTTGTTGTTCATGGGCACAAAAAAGGTAAGTGAACAACCTACCGCCGTCTTCCTAGCTGAGGTCAATGCTAACCGGGTCTGTGTTGTTTAGTACCCGAAGGAAAATGCATACAACCAGTACCTAGCGTCCCACTCCGGTTCGTCAAATGCCTACACAGCCGCCACCGAAACGAACTACTTCTTCGAAGTGTCCGCCACAGGTGCCTCCAGTGCCCCGAAATCAAGTGGGGACAGCACACCTGCCGAGACAAATGATAACAATGGTATCGTGGCAAATGGGAATGGCTCGGATGGAAAGTCGCCCCTCTATGGTGCATTGGATCGGTTTGCCCAATTCTTTGTCGCACCGCTTTTCCTAGAGTCAACCCTAGAAAGGGAGCTGCAGGCGGTGGATTCGGAAAATAAAAAGAACCTTCAAAGTGACCTGTGGCGTTTGATGCAACTGAACAAGTCGCTTTCCAACCCTAAACATCCTTACAGCCATTTCTCAACCGGTAATCTGCAGACTTTGAAAGAAGATCCACAGAAACGTGGTCTAGAAGTCCGCAGTGAGTTCATCCGGTTCTACGAGAAGCACTACTCAGCCAACCGGGCGAAGTTGGTTGTCCTGGGACGGGAGTCTCTGGACACGTTGGAGCAGTGGGTCTCCGAGCTCTTTTCTGATGTCGAGAACAAGAACCTTGCTCAGAACCGCTGGGACGATGTTCAACCCTTTACTGAGAAGGACATGTGCACCCAGGTGTTCGTGAAGCCGGTCATGGATACTCGATCCATGGATATGTACTTCCCTTTCCTTGATGAGGAGGATTTGCATGACACTCAGCCTAGCCGGTATATCAGCCACCTCATTGGCCATGAGGGCCCTGGCAGTGTTCTTTCTTACCTCAAAGCCAAGGGGTGGGCCAATGGCCTGTCTGCAGGCGCCATGCCTGTCTGCGCTGGGTCGGCATTTTTCACTATCTCGGTGCGCCTGACCCCCGAGGGTCTGAAGCAATACCAGAAAGTCGCAAACGTTGTTTTCGAATATATCGCTATGATCAAGCAACGCGAGCCGGAGCAATGGATCTTCGACGAGATGAAGAATCTTGCCGAGGTCGATTTCCGGTTCAAGCAGAAGACCCCGGCTAGTCGGTTCACCAGCCGTTTGAGCAGCGTTATGCAGAAGTCACTGCCTAGTGAATGGCTGCTGAGCGGTTCTTTGTTGCGACGATTTGACTCTGCCCTGATCAAGAAGGCGCTGAGCTATCTGCGGGCCGACAACTTCCGCTTGGTCGTTGTGTCCCAGGAGTTCCCGGGGACATGGGACCAGAAGGAGAAGTGGTATGGTACCGAGTACAAGGTCGAGAAGATCCCACAGGAGTTCTTGGGCGGTCTTCAGAAGGCTCTCGAGTCGACTGAGGCTACCCGTACTTCCAACGTGCACATGCCTCACAAGAACGAGTTTGTGCCGACAAGACTCTCGGTGGAAAAGAAGGAGGTTGCCGAGCCAGCCAACACCCCTAAACTGATTCGCCACGACGACCGGGTGCGCCTGTGGTTCAAGAAGGATGACCGTTTCTGGGTGCCGAAGGCCACTGTCGAGGTAACGCTTCGTAATCCTTTGGTGTGGGCTACACCCGCCAATCTCATCAAAACAAAGCTGTACAGTGAGTTGGTGCGAGATTCGCTAGATGAATACTCCTACGATGCTGAGCTTGCTGGTTTGGACTACCATCTCTCGGCGAACATTTTGGGCTTGGATATTTCCGTTAGCGGTTACAACGACAAGATGTCCGTTCTTTTGGATAAAGTACTCAATACCATGCGTGGGTTAGTTATCAACCAGGATCGGTTCCACATTATCAAAGAGCGCTTGACGCGGGCATTCCGCAATGCCGAGTACCAGCAGCCTTACTACCAGGTCGGAGATTATACTCGCTATCTCCTTGCTGAGCGCAGCTGGGTCAACGAGCAGTATCTCGAGGAGCTGGAGCATGTTGAGTGTGAAGACGTGGTCAACTTCTTCCCCCAATTGCTCGAGCAGACCCATATCGAAGTCCTGGCCCATGGCAACCTATACAAGGAGGATGCCCTGCGTATGACGGACTCTATTGAGAAGATCTTAGGAGGGCGTCCTCTACCTCCATCGCAGTGGTACTTGCGCCGCAACATGACCTTGCCGCCCGGTGCCAACTATGTCTACCCCCGATCTCTTAAAGATCCGGCCAACGTCAACCACTGCATTGAGTATTACCTTTATATTGGACTCTTCTCCGATGACGTTCTGCGGTCGAAGCTTCAGTTGTTCGCACAGCTGACTGACGAACCTGCATTCGACCAGCTGCGCAGCAAGGAACAGCTCGGATACGTGGTGTGGAGTGGCGCGCGCTACAACGCCACCACCCTGGGCTACCGGGTCATTATCCAAAGTGAGCGCACGGCGCAGTACCTCGAATCGCGCATTGAGACTTTCCTCCGCGGGTTCGGCCCCACCCTCGAGACGATGCCCGAGGAAGAATTCGAAGGTCACAAGCGCAGTGTTGTGAACAAGCGCCTGGAGAAACTCAAGAACCTCAGCTCTGAAACTGGCCGGTACTGGTCGCATGTCGGATCCGAGTACTTTGATTTCCTGCAGCACGAGACCGACGCGGCCAATGTGCGCACCTTGACCAAGGCGGATCTTGTTGCATTCTACCAACAATACATCGACCCCTCGTCGGCAACACGCGCCAAGCTCGCCATCCACATGAACGCTCAGTCCGGCGCGCAGGTTGAGGCACCCAAACCGGCCGAACAGAGAACACGCCTTGTCGAAGTAGTTACTAAGCACCTCGGAGCTGCTGACTTCACCGTGGATTCTGCCCGCCTCGCAACGGCCTTCGATGAGGTTGACGCGACAACGGCAGACAAGTCCCAGGTTATCTTTGCTGTGAAAAACTTCCTGGCGACTGAAAACGGCCTGTCACAGCAGAAGATCGAGCCTGTCCTTGAGACACTGGGAGAGAAGCTCAGTTCTCAGTTGAAGGAGCTGGGCCTTGGCTCTAGCAGTGACACTCAGGGTGCGGCTAATGGCAATGGCGAGGCTCAAAAAGCTGTCCTTATCACCGATGTGCCGACCTTCAAGGCACGTTTGCCTGTTAGCACTGGCCCTGTTCCCGTCACGGATTTGAGCGAGTATGAGGATTTTGATGCCAAGCTATAAATGGCATAGGATACATGTGGGGTGGGTCTTGTGTTAGGCTGGGTGGTTGCATAACTCTGAGAGTTGAGGTGTTTGTCAATTGGAAGATATAGTGAGGTTCCAGAGATGGACAATAATCAAAAAAATTACGACCTGACAGTTTTGATATAGGGTTCCCAGCTCGTGGAGACTCGAAAAAAATGAAGTTCCCCAACCAGGAAGAAGACACTTGTTCCACGCCTGTTTGATATTACCTCTACAGCGCTGCATTCTCCATCAAGGCCCTGTTAGAATTGGGGATTCTAGTTTTCTATACAAACATGCTTAGGGGATCTCTCTAGGCTCAAGTGTTTCGAGTGTATTCGGGCTGTTAGCCCTGTAACGTTATACTAAACGTTATAGTAGATGATTGTATACAAAAGTGTTCAGACCATTATCATCCTACGTAATCAGATACCTGGGGACATCAGATGGGAACATTGGAAGGCGGTCAACACTGATAAGAGATAGGCGATATAGGAGCTTGGAGCTGCCGTCCACGGATTCTTGACCACAATAACAACTAACGCCTTGTCAACATGGCTACTACTACGCAGGATATCCCTGTCAGTGGACTTCCGTAAGTATTTCAGATCAATACTCCATTTTGGTACTCGATTTTCTGTAGAGCGACCTGACCCGATAACTTCTAGGCCCATTGTCCCGAAGGACTTCACCGCACAGCAGCCGGAGACTATCCGCCTGTACCCCCTGTCGAACTACACCTTTGGCACCAAGGAAACACAACCAGAAGAGGACCCCTCGGTTCTGGCACGGCTGAAGCGACTCGAAGAACACTATGGTCTCCATGGAATGCGACGCACTTGCGAGGGAATCCTGGTGTGCCACGAGCACAACCATCCCCATGTGCTGATGCTGCAGATTGCCAATGCATTCTTTAAGCTGTGAGTTCTCTATAGCTTATTTGCGCATATTCACAATCCACAGCTAATAAGTCTTCAGGCCCGGCGATTATCTGCACCACGAGGACGATGAAATTGAAGGTTTCAAGAAACGACTAAATGAGCGCCTAGCACCTGTGGGATCTCAGTTCTCCGGCGAAGGTGTTAACGATGACTGGGAGATCAGCGACACACTTGCGCAATGGTGGCGACCTAACTTTGAGACCTTTATGTACCCGTTCCTTCCTGGGCATGTCACGCGCCCCAAGGAGTGCAAGAAGTTGTACTTCATTCGCCTCCCGAAGAAGAGTGAGTTCTACCCCAACTATGAAGACTTTCCAACCAACCTTGCTTACATATCACCCAATTTTTATAGAGGTTCTTTCGGTTCCGAAGAACATGAAACTTCTCGCCGTGCCGCTGTTCGAGCTGTATGATAACACTGCTCGCTATGGCCCTCAACTTTCTGCCATCCCGCATCTCCTATCGCGATACAACTTCGAGATGGTCGATGAGAATGACAACATTGTTGCTGTGACTCCTGGCACCCCGCTGCCTCCTGGCTACACTATCCCTACCAGGGTTCTTGTTAATGGCGGTGCAGATGACGGACAGGACACCGGTATGACTGGTGTTGAGGAGGGAATGAAGATCGAATCTCACCAGTAGTGGGGAGTGATTCCAAGAACAACGAAACGCTGACCAGGCTAACTTTGAGCCTGAGCACCGAGTGTCCCGGGGTCAAGGTTCCTTACTGGCAGCGATGATGAACAAGATACGGTTTCTGACTGGCATCGAGGACGGGATTCGCCAATAATGGGATTCTTTTCGAGACCGAGAGAGAGGAAAAAAAAATAAAAATAAAAAGGTACAAAAAAAAAACTTCCCGCCATTGAAAATGGAATGGATCCAGCCAGTCAAATCAATTTTACGCTTCTAATGATCACATATATTTAATGATGCCGTAGTTCAATATTTCCCATATTCCCCCCCTGAAACATTCATATAGATAGATTCACAAGTGAAAGTGAGTGGCTGGGATTTCTTCGGACAATCAGCATGAGATGAGATAAGATCGTCGAATAACACTTGAGCACCATACAATACAATGTGCCAAGTCGAAGCCAATCAACATCAACAACCGTTACAATGTACTTTGTACCTTTTACCGACATGCAAAGAACCCAAAATATTCCTCTTCACGGAAACTTACATCACATGGGGAAATGATCACCGTTGGATCAACTCTGTAAGGTATAAACTAAGCACTCCTTCTTACAGCACTAACCTCGTAGTATACTCCGCTATCTTACTATGCAGAATAACTATCATCCACCTAATACATTACCAGGGGTTGCAATACCGGTGAGGAACGAGGAATCAAAATATCGCATGAATCCCATGCTGATCCCGCCGGACTTCCACCGGTCACGCGTGGCACATGCGCCATGAAACCGGAGATATAGCTGAGTCCGGAAAAGATTTAATCTAGGAGGGAATGGGCGCTATACCCCGCTTCCTGAAGATGTCGCTATTTGTGAAGGATTTTGATCTATACGGATGTGTATGGAGTCGCCCGAGCATACATAAGGAAGCCGTGTCTGCATGGCCATCTCCAGATGTGTGTGCACACTCGCCGTTACGAAAGCCCTATTCCAAAGATCTCCGCAATGCTCCGTCTCGGTCAGCTTTGGGGTATCGCTGCTCTTGCGGTAGTGACAGTTGCTGCTCCTTCTCGTTCCGTCCCTCGAGGTATGGATACGCGCGTTCGCTTTTTTTTCTCTTTATGTCGGTAACTGACTAACGCAACGAACAGATGTGTCAAGTAGTGTGCTTGATCAATTGACCCTATTTTCTCAATGGGCTGCGGCGTCATACTGCACGAATAATGACAACTCAACTGGCGATGCGGTCTCTTGCGAGGCCGGCAACTGTCCATTGGTGGAGTCCGCCGACACAACCACTTTATTCGAGTTTAATGAGTATGAGGCCAACTTCCAAAGTCAAGTCACAATCTGTTCGCTAACACAGTGACACCTATCAGATCATCCAGCTATGGCGATGTCGCCGGCTTCTTCGCAGTCGACAAAACAAACAAGCTACTTGTCGTCTCATTCCGAGGTAGCCGCACACTAAAGACTTGGATCGCAAACATCAACTTTGGCTTCACCGATGCTAGTAGTATCTGCAGTGATTGCGAAGCCCACAGCGGGTTCTTGGAATCCTGGGAGGTTATCGCGGATGATCTGACATCCAAGATCAAGACCGCACAGACAACATACCCAGGCTACACTCTTGTTGTGACAGGCCACAGCTTTGGCGGAGCTCTTGCCACGTTGGGGGGTACTATACTTCGAAATGCGGGATATGAACCGAACGTGGTAAGTACCATTGTTTTCGCAATCCTTGATATAGTAGTGCATACTCACAGATTATAGTACACCTATGGCCAGCCCCGGGTGGGCAATGAGGCTCTAGCTGAATATATCACGAACCAGGGCAGTCTTTGGCGAGTGACTCATGAATCTGATTTGGTGCCTAAGGTGCCACCTTCACATATTGGTTTTAGCCACGCCAGTCCCGAGTACTGGATTACTGTTGGTAACGATGTGACGGTGACCTCGTCTGATATTGATGTCATTGAAGGCGTAGGCTCGAAGGCTGGAAATGCTGGGACATTGGATCCTAGTATTGATGAACATGGTTGGTATTTGGGACACATCAGTGCATGTCAATAGGTAGTATGTCTGGACATCTACCAGATGTATGTATATATTTTGGTCATACTATTCCGATTTATATATCACATATCATCATATTAACATATCTACTCTTGATTAATTTATAAATGAGCTTCATTTTATATATTTATAGTTTTTATGGCTGTTATAATCGTGAGTTGAAGCTATTAAGCTATGAAGCTATTAGGTGTATGGTGTAGTGCCAAAACATATAGCTTGGCCGCTGTGGAGAACTTCAACTTGCGACACGTCAACCTCCAGATGTCTCTGATGAGTGCAAGATTTATTACGGTTACCTCCACAGATACTACATGAATTAGTATCTGATTACTATTCCAGGTATATTCTACTTGTCCCCGGATTTCTCGAGCTCCCCCCGGGGCCTTGATTTCCCGTTGATCGTCAAGCTCTCCTCCCTCCCCTCAATGACTTGACCACTCGGGCAGAGTGCCCTCCCATCCAACATGTTGTTCGCTCCTAGTGGGCCTCAAGGTCCTCGACGTCGCAGTCGGATGAAAGCTATCTTCCTTACCATTTTCATCGTCATCGCCTTGTACTTTTTATTCTTTTCCACAACGAAGTCTCCCGTGCAGACCGAAACAGGCAGCTATGCGGAGAAACATGGATCAACAAAACAACCAGACGAGCTGGCTCGTCCTGCTGTATCGAGACGCAAGGATATGATCGTGGCCAGCATGAAGAGTGATGACACGTCATGGCTGTTAGAATACTTTCCTGACTGGGCGAAAAGTATCTATGTGGTGGATGACAAGGATGCGCCGTTGACGGTGGCACGCAACAAAGGTCGGGAATCGATGGTGTATTTGACGTGAGTCCAGGCCCAACATGCAGGGTGTGTTACCTCTCGTACCTCATACTGACTCGAGCTGTTGAACCAGATACATAATCGACAATTACGATAATCTACCAGACACAATGCTCTTCATCCACTCCAAACGCTACCAGTGGCACAACGACGACCCATACTACGATGGCATCCCACCGCTCCGAAACGTCCAGATCCCATACATACAAGAGCAAGGATATGTCAACCTACGATGTGTTTGGACCCTCGGATGCCCGATCGAAATCCGTCCTCACACCGACACACATCGCACCAACGTACACGCCGGCGAATACTTCAAGAATGGATTCATGGAGCTATTCCCTGGGATCCCAATCCCGGAGGAGGTAGGTGTGTCGTGCTGCGCGCAATTTGGTGTGTCCCGCGCCAAGGTGCTGGAACGGCCGCGCAGTGACTACGAGCGCTTCCGGACCTGGCTAGCGGACACGCCGCTAGAGGATGATTTGAGTGGACGAATTATGGAATATTCATGGCATAGTATGTGTTTTTCTTGCAACCCCCTCGGATCCGATTGGAAGCTGACATTTTCGCCAGTGATATTTGGAAAGGACCCCGTGCATTGCCCCAATGCGAAGGAATGCTATTGCAAATTGTTTGGATTGTGCAATCTGACCTGTCCATGGGAAGGTGGCTGTGATGACCGCTATTCCCTGCCGCCATTTTCCTCGCTGCCCAAGGGATGGCCGGAGATTGGATGGAAGGGCCAAGCACAAGACACCTCACATGGATTGCCGGAAACTTGAATTGATGGATTGAAGAAACCAGTCACATAAACCGACTTCCCCTTTTTACTGCCTTGGGTTAGGCGTCTTGCTCTGCGTGCGCTCTCAAATTGGAGTGCTATAGGATGCATCTATAAGTTCATGAGGATATCTATCGATCGCAACTGGGATTGCAAGGTTTCCCCTCAAAAATAATATAATCGAATATATAGCAAACTAGTTATCGAAAGCAGCTTGGTTGGAATTAGGCGAATCTATAATTTCCTACTTGCATATACATGTACAGGATGTACAACTAGGTGACATACGTGCTTAATGCGGAGCCGAGGCTAATTTTATCTCCCCGCATTCGTCACTTCGACTTCTTACTTGACATCTTTCCTCTCTCTCCTCTTTTCAAAGCCAAAATGTTGATCATCGGGCTCACCGGCTCAATAGCAACGGGCAAATCAACTGTCTCATCCATCCTCTCCACACCACCATACTCCCTCCCAATAATCGATGCCGACCTCCTCGCTCGCAAAGTAGTCGAGCCCGGCACCGCAGGCTACAAAGCAATCGTCAACTACTTCGGTCCCAGCACATCAGACTTATTATTGGACGATGCGCCTACAAATCCGAATGGGAAACCACTGAATCGACCGGCGCTGGGGCGGCGCGTCTTCGGTAGCACCGAAGAGCGCAAGCGCGACCGACAAGTCCTCAACGGCATCGTCCACCCCGCCGTCCGGTGGGAAGTCTACAAAGCCCTGATCTACCACTACCTACGTGGCCAATGGGCAGTCGTCCTGGATGTACCTCTTCTCTTCGAGAGCGGGATGGATCTTATCTGCGGAACGGTGATCGTGGTCGGTGTTCACGACCCTGAAATCCAAACCGCGCGGTTGCGCGCCCGCGATGCGCATCTTACCGCCGAGGATGCGGAGAACCGGGTCCGGAGTCAGGGGGATGTGCGGACGAAAGCGACGCAGGCGGAGTTCCGGGGGACGACGACGGGGCGCGGGGTGGTAGTTTGGAATGATGCTGATAAGGCCGAACTGGAGGTTGCTGTTAAGGGAGCTATGACTAGTATTGCGGCTTCAAGTCCGAGATGGTGGGCATGGACGTTGCTGGTTGTGCCGCCGGTTGGGTTTGGGGTTGCCGCTTGGAATTTGATTGTGAATTTTGCGACGCAGAAAGGGTGGGAGAAGAAGAAACAGGAGGAGAAGGCGAAGCTTTGAGGGGGGGTTTTCTTACTTTTTTTCGAGAAGAGCTGGTCGCTACTTAGGTATCTCTATGTAGTGCCTTTTTGCTGCGTCTTTGCATCTTTGGTCTTTATCAGGGCATTGTCAATTTAGACTCAGTGAGGCCCTTAGCGGAGCCTAGGGCCTAGTATGTATATATATATAAATGTACATCCATTATTATTATGAGAACAACTCTTACGCCAGACCACTAGAGGCAGTTATGAACGGCTTTTGTATAGTGCGTACGACTTTCTTGGTGCACATTAGAGCTCTACTTATATACTCGACGTATACGCGAGGGAAAAGTTGTCGTCCAAACATCCAACTCCACCAAACTGAAGGCCAATGACCGCAACCAGGAGACACATTAGAGGTTCGGAGGAAGAGCCTCGTAATAGCTAGGCATTTATTACCAGGTGACAGTGAAAAGGAATCGATTAATGGTACCCCAAGACGCCATACATGCTATGCTAAAACGCCAATCAAAAGATCCGAGTTGGATATGTGGAAGGTCATCCGTTTAGTAGCTCTTGCGCTTCTTCTTCTTCTTGTCAGAGGATGGGGCTCCCAACAGAGACCCCCGGCCAGAACCAGATATACTAGTGAGTTCAGACAGCTTCGTCTGTCGTGTGTTTGCTCTGGCTTTGGCTTCTGCCTTGAGTCTGGCCTTTTCCATCATTTTGCTGACTTCTTGTGGATTCGACGGGTTGATTATGTCTTCATCTTCATCGTAGTCGTCCTCATCATCATCGTCATCATTTCCCTCCTTCCGTGGTGTAGTTTGTGGCTAAGAATAATGAGTATAAACTATCAAGTGTGAGAGATGAAAAGAAACCGACCTTGCGCTCTTTGCGCTTGAAATTGCCATACGCACGCCGACCACCGGAGTAAGTATCGTCATCTGCATCCAGCGAGTCTGCAGCCAATACCATAGGCTGCTGAGTGGATTGGGGCGTAGCAGGAACGTCTAAAACCCAGTGTGTCTCACCGGCTTCTGCAGCTGCTCGCGCGACAGCTTGCTGTCGCTTTTCTTCTTCAGCGGCAAGTGCAGCAGCGATCGCATCCATATCTGAGGTGCCAGGGCTCTCAGCCTCGGTAGAGAGACGGGGGCGCTTCGAATTGTGCGAACTGGCATCGGAAGATGGGCTTTGAGTTTCTTTCGCAGCTGCAGCGCGTCGCATAAACTATTGTATATGGTTAGTTTGCATGGCAGTTAATCAGGAAACTGCCATTCATACCTTCATGGTCAATAGATTTGAGGACATAGTCTTCTCAGGCTTTCCAGCCGGGGAGGAAGAGCCAGCCATGATGGGTTGAAAGTAAAATCTCAATGGATATGAAACCCAATTTCAAAACAAGAGAGAGAAAGATGTTAAACCACTTTGACTGAGGCGCAAAATAAAATGATGCGGCAGAAAATCCAAAAGTGCAGGATGGAGCTATCTCGAATCAGCAAGCGGTGACCACCCACCAAACCACACCTCGCGGATTATTCAGTGCCGACTTGCACCTAGTCCCTTGCCAAACGCTCTTTTTGTCCTCTGTCATAACCAACCACCCCTGGGGAAAATTTGCCCAATATGATGTCCTGTGGCCGTAGACTTGTGACCTTTGCGTCGGTCCGCCCGCGCTTCGTTGTCCGCGCCTACTCCTCAACCGTGCCCCGTCTGAACGAGAACCCTATCCAAGTCAACGACCCGACCCCGCGGAAGCCCGCCCCGAACGTCTCCGCAACCAATGCTGTGCCTACCGAGGAGTTTGGACGTCAGCGTAACGACGGTACTCTCCAGGAGGCCCCCGAGGTTGGCGAGCGCATCCGGAGCACGCAGGCCCCCAACCGCGCTACCACCTGGGCCGCCAGCCAGCAGCCGCGTGAGAAGGCCATGGTTGGACCTCGCTTTGAGCAGACAATTATGGAGACCCAGGTGCGAATCCATTGAAAATAGCAGTGCTTATGCAATTGCTGTTGGCAACCTTGGAATGTATATCAAGGATTGAGAACTAACTTGCTACTCTTTAGCCGCAACCATATGCCGCTATCGAGCTCATTCACAGACAACCCGTCCGCTGGACAAAGTCCAAGGTTGTCAGCTGTGATGGTGGCGGTGGTCCTCTCGGCCACCCCAAGGTCTTCATCAACACCGACAAGCCCGAGATCGCTACCTGCGGATACTGCGGTATTCCCTTCGTATGTGCACTTATATCTGCCATCTTTCCACCGGCTACCATTGGATCATTGCTAACATCTCTCTAGGCCCAGGAACAGCACCGCGCTTACTTGAAGTCCCTGCCCACCACCAGCTACCCCCTCGAGCCCACCGGTGACGCCGCCGAGGTCAACGAGTCTCAGCGTGTGACAGAGGGTGGCTTGGAGCAGCGATAGACGGCTAGCATGAGATTTCCTTTTATCGGCGTTGCACAATTTGCGTTTTTCAGTTTGTTTTGGGCCTGAGGCCGTGTACAGAATATCGATGAATGGATGCACTGCCCTTCGATCGTGTGTGAATGATGGTATTGTCCTCAAAATGTGTGTACTACTTCGACTACCGTATGATGATCTCATATAATCTGGGTCATTTGTCGACTCCCTCGCCAACCTAAATCCTGTTTTTTATTTATCTTGCATCACTCGTAGCCGGGACTTCCTAGATAAATCACAATTGCCCGCGGTCAGCCCCATCCAGTCAAGCCTTCTGGCCCTGGATCGTCGCGACAACCTTGCGACTGTGCCGACTGGTCCGGAATTCCAGGTACCAAATGCCCTGCCATGTTCCTGTTGCCAATCGACCGTTCGTGATAGGGATATTGACCGAAGCGCCAATGAGTGCAGATTTGATGTGAGCCTGTGGTGCATTAGTGGCTGGTTTCGAAAAGAGAGTAAAAAGAATCGCGGAAGCTAGTCAGAACTGGACTCTTGAAGTAAAAGCATAGCAACCTAACCAGAAATCCCTAATTCTCTGCTATTTCCAAACACATACCGGCATATCATCCTCGCCCTCGGCAGAATGACGATACAGATTTCCCTTCTTATCCATAGGCGCAATGCGGTCTAGCGCATCGCTCATATCGGCGCGAACATCATCATCCCAGTTCTCGTTCAGCGAAAGGGCACAGCTGGTGTGTTGCACAAACAGATTCAGCATGCCGACCTTGTAATCGCGGATCTCGGGGACCTCCTGGAGGACATGGTCGGTGATAAGGTAGGAACCGCGGCTGCGGGAGGGGGAGACTAAAAGTCTTTTGGGACCAAGACATGGTATATAAAAATTGAGAGGGAGAAGTGCTGAGAGTAAGAATAAGAGAGCCCTGGAGAATATCGAGGGGCAGCAGAAAATAAGAGTGTTGTGATTGGGTGGGTTCTGTGATGTCATTGGATCTACATCTCTTACTCTTTCTCTACATATGTACTTTGTATACATTGGGTAGGAATATCTTCACTTCGTTGCTTATATGACTACCCTCAGGGCGTGACAACGTTAAATGAAGGATTGGGCACAGTAATCAAAAACGTGACACTGGCTTGGGTTGCGATGTCACTTATTGCCTGGTCACCACCAATATGGTCCACATGGCAATGCATGTACAAAAGAGCCTTGATCTCCAGGTCTTGAACATCGAGTTTTTTTTTCTTCCAATAGAATCAAGCGAATAGCTCTCGGGTTATTTCGGGTTCAAATGGTGCATCTCTCAGCCAGCCTCCGCACGGAGTGATCATGGTTGCACCGGATGGAGTTACTCTGACTTAAATAGGGGTTTGTTTCTTCTAGGCGTTACACTGCTGTGATATAGTTGTATAGGTTGTTCTAGATGATCGAAGAGATTGAGCATGGAATCTTTTTGCTTGGCGTGACAGCTAAGAATGGGAGTCTGGGCTGATATAGCTAGTTTGCCTTTGTTCTCAATCATTGGACAATTCCTCACTACAGTATAGAAATTATATCTCAAGCATTACCCGCAATAATTACCCGCAATTGAGTCATTATACCGTTTATGGTATACATCATTAAAACATAAAGAGGTGAACTTTTCATTTTCTTTGCTAGCAATATGGCTACCTAAACACTATGCATCCTCACTATAAGGTGGCAAATATTGCTCATCCGCAAACAACTCCACTAGATGGTATCGACGATGCGCCGTGAAGAGCATAATCATTCCCTGGGTAAAATTCTTAACTAAAGCGAGCAGCGATGGGCTATTCCGAAGCTGTTCATAGGCCGACTTTGTCACCTACAGTCAACTGTTAGCAGTCCAGGCCCTTACAAGGCCAAGAGCTTCAAACTTACAGCAGGGGTGTAGCTTGTGAGGTACCGCAAGACATCCAAATGCTGGGCATGATGCGCGTCGGCGAAATTTGCCACGAATTGCCCGTTTCATCGTCGAGACAGAACTCCTTGTAATATGACAAGATATCATTGGTAAAGTCAATGAAGAGCACAAGTTCCAGGGTGACGGGGAAATATCGCATAACATATTCCTCTTCGGGAAAGACAGAATTGGGGTAAAGGAAATGGATCATGATCTCCGCGCCCCCGACCTTGGTTCTCAAGAACATAGGCATGAGACGGGACTCGGAGAAATTGAAATTGGACTGTTTGATCTTATGCTCGACGACACGTCCATTTATATAATCAAGCATGCCTTTAATCATCACCGAGTGGCAGTATGGGCCGTAATAATCCGATAGGTTGCGAATGTGAGAATCCAACCCAGCCAGGATAGGATGCTTGTGGTGTTGGTTAAGAGTAAAGCTAAGTAGATCAGCATACAGTTGAATATCTATGAGGTTAAGCTTAAGACTCACTTTTGACCAGATACTTGAAGTTCATCGATGAATTCCTCCGCCATGTCATCCACCAGAAACATATATAGGAATTGAATGGCACCTAGCACCCTCACCTGGAATGGAAGAGACGTGTACCCGTGATATGCAAAGTTTACCGAAGGGTCGAGGGTTTGTTGAACCGATTTCTCGTTCTTCTCTCCTAAATGCAAACTTTGGAAATACTGCCAAACAATGATTTTCATTTCATGGTCTTTGACGACGCGAATGCTGCGATCAAAGCCAATATCCTCGAGAAAGGTCCTGATCAGGGATTTGATTTGATCAGTTTGAGCCCTTCCTAGATTAACACCTGTCTCATCGGTATCCGTTGATGTCATTCGGAGTCCATGATAGGTGAGCTTGCTTTCTGCGAGAATAGAATCCATATTATCAATTTAATCAATTCAACAGTAAATTTTAGCAGATATACCACAGGCTGTAACCAAATGGTGTGATAGAATGAAGTTGGGAAGGAAAGACCCTCTCCCAGCTTCGGTCGTTTATCGCCGTTACACATCAACGGCATAAATATACTACGTTATACGAGGGTGTGACCGGAGTAGAGAACAATGATATATACTACAGGTGTCTCTTATCCCAAGTCACGTTTATGCTGCTATAGATATAGGGTTAGGTAGTAGTTCATATGTCACTATACACGCACAGCTAACCTTGGAAATCATAGCATCTAATATCACCGAACTCCGCTAGATGATTCATGTGCGGTTCTCATCCAACTGTCGATTGTAAAACGAGTTATTCTGATAAGTACGGGAGTTGAAGCTTGATACCGGGCACAGAAGTATATATTCAAGAGTAACGACTATCTCAGATGAGTATGATTGAATATTGATCGTTTACACGGATTGGGTTACTTTACTATATTTTTGCTGCCAAATCCAATTAGTGAGGATCTACCGGTCCTCGACTATGGGGCTATCATGAAGTCGAAGACTAAGATTGTCATTGTATACAGTAATAGTGTATGTAACTACATATTTTGTGGAAGTAAAGTCCCGTCTTACTTTACATTTTATGTCGAATACCTCCTAGTATCATCTTTACAAAATATTATCCCATCCGTTGTATGCTATGTAGTTTGATCTATACTATTATAACAATATCAAGTGTGAGAAGTCGATTTACTTGAGCTGTGGGAATTCGCTCTCGGTCCAAACCTTCCATACCAGTCTCTCGCCACTAGCTTGTCCACTTCTCAGAGTATCCAGCGCAGTGGTAGCCTTCTCCGGAAGTGAGTCGTTTTCAATCTCCCAATACGAGGGTGTTGGTCAATGCACGGACCTAGGCTTTAGGTGGGGAACGGGCTCTCAGCCAATATTTCCAGCCCTGCTGTACTTCAACGCCGTACACCACGCGGTACACTACGCTTGGTCACAATTTCACCCGCCAATTTTCCTCTCGGAAAAATAACTACAGAATGGCTGAGAAGAATGATAAACCGATTGATTCGTGCAGTGTATTTTTAAACAGTGAAAGAAGTAGTCCTTTATGTTAACTCCGATCCTACGGAAAGCCCCTCCCTATTAGATAAAACAGCTACTCTTTAGCAAGAATAGATGTCTCCGCAGTGGTTGGGATAACAAGCCAGATCGCCACATATATGTCTCTTTAATAAATCCTAGTACATAGAACCAGGACGAAATTCCCCATGACTGGTGTAAGGGTGCACCTCGGCTGAAACTTGCTTGGCCGCCCCCAAAGTCCAGGGGTCTGTCTGCCTTGCTCCCCATATCAACGTGGAAATAGGAAAGACCAGAGATAACTATCTGTTACGAACAAACAGCATAGTGGAAAAAGTAATGGCACTCTTAATTGACACTGGGAAAGGGTTGTCTGTGCTATCATACAGTGCGGCTTTAAGATATGGTTATCACTCCTTCACCTGAGCATTCACAGTGCAGACATGTTCGGAATGGCATATCCAGAAAGATCCAAGTCAGCCTTAAGGACCCCTGCCGCCTTAAGTCCAATGAAAGGCTCCACCCTCACATGATGGAGAACACTGCCATCGATACTGCCACACAGATCATCAAAACTGGCTACAGCCATCTATCCAACGACTCACTTGGATAGCATCGTCAATAAGAGCGATATGAGGAATGACACTACTAGGATACAAACCATCAACATTACCAGCGAGGTAGGATACACCATGTCTAGAAAATTGGATGCAGAACGAGGTGTAGGGGCTTGGTCTTCCGGATACTGCTGCGCTCCGGTGCCAAGACGTATCCGAGATTGAGATGGGCCTGAAGAAGGATACTATACATATTAGTGCGAAGGATCTAACGAAGACAATCAGGGAACCAATGTATACCGGATGGCTCTGGTTCCACTCTTAAGCATCCTGGACAGGAAGTCAATATCAATTCATATCTCGCCCCGTTACTTCTAGTCACTTGCCTCATGCTCTTACGTCATGAATATCCACTGAAGGGGCCGTAGAGCTGTCCTTCTCTACAGCCGTCAACCGGATATAGGATTTGGATTGGTTGGGAATGCGCAAGGATCGTAAAGGGATAGCTGGCTCACTCGGCAACTAAACCCTAAACCCATCAGGAATCAAGTCTCACCTGGCGGTCGCGACTATATGTCTGGCAATCTTTCTCATCACATTGGTAGGTCATTCCCTGTATCCTGCCTAGGTGTAATATCTCTGATTATGGTCATATTAAACTCAAATAGGACAATACCATCATTGCCACTGCTACACCATATATCACCGACGAGTTCCATTCACTCAAAGATGTGGGCTGGTATGGAAGCGTCTATACTATGGTAGTCTGTGTTACTACGCTGCTCTTCGGCAAGCTAAACGCCCGATACTCAATCCAATGGCTCTACACCATCTCCATGGTTCTTTTCTTGGTCGGTTCTGTTCCTGGTCGGTTCTGCCATCTGTGGTGCTACTCCCAATTCCCCAGCACTGATCGTGGGTCGTGCGATTGCTGGTTTGGGATGCGCGGGTCTGCTGGTCGGCGCCTTTTCCCTCGTTCCATTCATCGCTCCACCGGCAAAGCGCCCTATCATGATCGGCCTCATCTCAGCCTCCCGTGGACTCGCAACAACCTTTGGCCCATTAATCGGAGGAGCTCTAACCGAGAGGGTCTCCTGGCGTTGGAACTTCTATATCAACCTGCCGCTTGGTGTCGCTATTCAAGTCGCCTTTTTCGCTTTTTGTTCGCCCACCGAAGCGTGAGAGCGAAGCTTTTACCTCCTGGACGGATCTGGTGCAGAACCTTGATCTTTTTGGCCTGGTATCGTTGCTTCCGTCGGTTGTTTGCCTTCTCCTTGCGCTGCAGTGGGGTGGGATCACATATCCGTGGTCGGATCCTCGCGTTATTGTGTTGCTAGTCCTCTGCGGAGGTTTGGCTATAGCTTTTACCTTGACTGAGATGTGGCAAGGCCCCGAAGCACTCCTGCCGCCTCGCGTCTTCACTCAGCGAACCGTCTCAGCTGCGTCCTTCTACGGATTTTGCACGACCGGTGCCATTTTTGTGCTAACTTACTATCTCCCTATGTATGTAATTTCCGTTGTTCTCCTTTCCATCTTATATTATCATGTAGGTGCTAACCACGCCTTGATAGATGGTTCCAAGGAGTTCGGGGTGCCAGTCCAATCCAATCCGGGCTGTACACACTTCCCTGGGTTATCACTAGTACCATCATGTCGCTCACAGTGGGAATCCTCATTGCCAAAGTGGGTCATGCTGATGCATTTATGGTCATTGCAACGGTTTTCGGTGCAGTTGGGTCAGGCCTCTTTACCACATTTACTGTCGAGACCAGTAACGGGAAATGGATCGGCCATCAGATTATCTTCGCGGTATCGTCGAGTATCTCTAGTATTACCCCGTTGATGATGACGCAGGCTGCCCTTCCCCTCAAGGATATTCCCATCGGTTCTGGCATGGTCATGTTCTTTCAAACCATTGGCGCGTGAGTTTTAACCTCTGACTCTTATATCTGCAGGGTTGGAACTGATATTTTATTTTCCAGTTCAATCTTCGTCTCTGTGGCACAAGCATTGTTCACAAATGGTCTTGTCAATGGCCTCGAACGCACTGGCATGACTGGGTTTGAAGCGGGTACTGTGGCGTCACAAGGCATCACCAACCTTACCAAAAGCTTGACCGGTGATATCAAGAGAAGGGTCCTTGTCATTATTAATAACGCTCTCACACAGTCGTGGCACCTTACCGTTGTTCTAAGCTGCATCGCTCTTCTCGGAGCGCTAGCGGTGGAACACGGCAAGGTGAAAAGGAGGACTTGATTTCGAGCAGTTTCCACTGACGCTGGGGATTCATTCGAATTCATGGGTGCTATAGGACTTTATCGGTGTTCAAAACTATGTATAATATGTGTGTTGATATTTCTCAACCTAGATTTCAAGTACCTGAGCAGTTTCCACAATGGAACCGTGATAAAGTCACCGAACATCTCCCCGAACATCTCCCCGAAGCGGGTTAAAGTCACCGAACATCTCACCGAACATCTCCCCGAGCATCTCCCGGAAGGTAGACGGAAACTCATAGCTTTCAAGAGATGAACACGCAGCCATAAGTTATGTACTTTTAGCACGAGATTCTCTGAGTTTGAATTCCTCAAATGCACAAAAATAGTCACGAGAGGAGTAGAGCTTTCCTATTCATGATTATACCCTGGTCCCTGATGCACACGGAAGACTTTAAATCCGAGGTGATTGACCTCGTATAGGTGTAGATGGTGGAGACAGAGTATTACACCCCAATCATATGACTTCGAGTACCAAGGCATACCATCCATACATTACGTTTAGTCATAATTACACCGATTGTTGAAATAGCGGGGTTTTGTCATCCATACCATACATGGATACATTGTTCATACAGTCAGATTTCTGTCAGTAGGTTACATCTCTGAAAGGGTTGGTAGAGTAACTCCGGGTAAGAAGCATATGAGACACACAATAAATACCAGGTATAACAAGATAATTAACGTATTTCATATGCGGGCTGGTAACCCCAAAATACCATAGTAAATGCGATAAACTACAACATAGTATCACAACAATGGTAGGTTATAGAAACTTTCCCTTTAAACCCAATGCTTTTCAGGTGGTATCTAGTCTCTAGGAGTTTAAAAAAAATTTCTATCACTTGGTGATTGAGATATATATATTTCTGGCTCCTAGCAACGTAATTTTCGATACCATAACAATGTAGGTTTTGGATTTTTTAAAATTGATATATCGCATTTACTATGGTGTTTTGGGGTGGCCAGCTCGCCCAGGAAATCCGTTATTGAAAAGTGTCTCATTAACATTGCCTACTCTCCGAGGCTAACCAATGCCAAATCGGTTATTGTTCCCTTCTCCATTTTTCACCATTCGTCAATCCCCTCATTTTCCCCTCATTTCCCCTCGGGGAATTTGTGGATCCCCCGGGGAGAAGTCTCCACAGCCACGGCCTGAGCAAACGGGCTGAGTCCGAGGTCGGGATCGGGTCTTGTACATCTTGTACATATGAGTAAACACATATTGCCCTTATCAAATCAAAAACAAGACTGAGAACTGTAGTAGATCGAAACACCCCACCCTCTGTGATGAGTACTTCTGTTATACAAGAGAAATACAAGAGAAATACGAGAGATCGTCACTAATCGATCGATTTTCGGTCGGTACCCAACATGCGGGGAAGACTTCCGCGGATATGACTTCATCGGCTCTTCCGCAATATCCCCGGTGAGGACAATCGAAGTTTAAATCATTTCCTCGATTGAATATTTTTCAACTGAAACATGAGTCCCTCCATCGACCCCACCTCTCTGCTAGTATCTGCCGCGGTCCCGGCATTCAAGTGTCCCGCTGGGACAAAGATGCACATTCTGAACTTGGGCACCCTCCAAGTAGATGAATCATGGTTTGTATACGCCAATGGAAGTTAAAATCGTAAAAATCCGTACTCACTTGAATAGGATTTTCCGAGGCGGCAATGCAAGCTCCTTAAGCAACCTTAATCCGGTAAACAAACGCCGAGATTTAGTTCTCCTTTCCGCTCTCATTGAGTATCCGGGAGTGGGCCTCATTCTTTATGAGACGGGCTGTGCTGAGGATCTAGACGTGGTTTGTCGGATTGTATCGCAACGTTTGTTACGAACTAACAAAATACAGAAATGGCCAGCGCCAGTCACGGATGTCTTTCCGCGAGTTGAATACTGCGAGAACCATAAACTCCCGAATGCTATCAAAGCCACTGGGAACGATATTAAAGATGTGAAAGCGGTAATCATTGGCCACCTGCACCTTGATCATGCCGGAGGACTTGAACATTTTGCCAACACAGATGTCCCAATCTACGTCCACGAAGAAGAATTCAAGCACGCTTGCTGGGCGGTAGCAACCGGGGCAGACCTGGGTGCCTACCTAGGACACTATATGCTGCTGGAAGAGCTGAAATGGAATACCTTCAACGAGTCACAGCTTGACCTTTTCCAAGGCATAACCCTTCACCATTCACCTGGTCACACGCCTGGACTATGCATTATGCAAGTCAACCTTGCCAATGATGGACCATTTATTTGGACCACGGACCAGTTTCATGTCGCAGAAAATTATGAGTTGGGTCATCCCCACGGGGGATTGGCTAGGGATCACAATGCGTGGTATCGCAGTCTCAACATGATCCGCAGACTTCAAAGACTGTATAACGCAACGCTGATTTTCGGTCATGACAAGGAGGTTGCTTCCAAGCTCATTGAAGCGAAGCCGTACTATGAGTGAAGGTCTACACTTCAAGGTTGTTAAACTGCCACTTAATCAAATTAAGTTCTCTTTCCTTGCCGAGTCGACCTTGTTGAATGCCAGCTTGTAACTTTAGTCTGACCGGGAGTAGAGTGGAGGAAATTAACCCAAAGGGTGGTAGGACCGTCAATGACAAGAATTTGATCCAAGATGGAAGTCGGTCTTCCCGAATAGGAAGGTGAGTCCAATCAACAGCTTTGGCCTTCATACATAGATCCATGGTGTTGTATCATAAAAATGGAGCAATTCAGAGATGCCCGACTCGACTCGGCTTCGGTCTTATTACGGAAAAGATGTTTTGATAAGACAATACTTGTTAGTTGCATGCTAGTTAACGTGTTTCACCGAGTGGATCAGCTAACCTGACTCATTCAATTCAAATGCATTTATCTCAACCACAACGCCATTAAATTGATTTATCTATTCGGGCATGTCTCTCTCCTATGTCCCGGCTGCATACATACTCCACCTGCTTACGACAGGCATTGATACGCGCTACTTGGGTCTCAAATGGCTCTGAACGTAGCCTAACGAACCTCCCAAACTGAGAGATCCCCTTTATGGACTATCTGCTTAGTCGATTGAGTCTGCTTTTGCTTCTACTTCTCGTTGGCGGTGCGTAAATCACTTACTTCTCAAGTAAAGCGGCAGATCGTATAGTGATTTGATAGGCTTTTAAAACTTGATTAATCGCGGCATTTCGTGGTGCTCGGAGGGCTCCTCGATATCGCACGAAGTAAAGCTTAATTCCAGACTAACTGCACTAATCCCACCCCGAAACATTACCTCCTGAAACATTACCTCCAAGTACTCGAATTGGTGGCATGACGGGTGGTTGAACTAAGTGCTACTTGATAGACATGTTTCGTGTCGCTGATCCTCTCGGTGGTGTCATAATCTGTTATCATCCACTCGGTGGTGAAACACGTTAGTCCAAGGCTTACATGCATATTAGTTTCTCTCTCCTTGCTTTCCCTCCAAGACAAGAGAGTTTAGTGGTGTTGGAATATTGTGGGCCAGAGTACTTCCTGTGTGTCTTGCAGTCGTGTTACGCCGAGTGAGTATCAGTCATGTTTCATGAGTATTTGCATCCTAGTACTTCGGAAGCCACTTATTTTCGGTTTCATACCAGTAGTAATAAGCAGGCAGTATAGGTAGGGCAGTCAACGGTAGAAGTATTGGGGTGCAAATACTTATGAAACGTCACTGTACGGTTTAGTTTGGAATTCTAATCTCAAGGAGTAGCCAATCTGGAGGGAACTGGTTTGGCAGATATCAATGGGGCTCATATATGCCAAGCTTGTAGAATCTACAGCAAGCGAACCAGGTACCCTTACCAAACTGAAAATTGCCGGAGCTGATTGGATGATAGAAATCCCTCATTTGGTTTTACTTCATTGGCGGTGAGCGGTACTTTGTACATTAGTACCTAGTACCTGCATGGCATCACTATTTACCTTCAGGGTCGCGCATGCCCCACCGATGTATGCGGGGTGAGAACACTACGGCCCGAGTAATTATAGTATGTCTTGAGTTCCGAGGTTTCCTCCCGAGTTTCCGCGACTTAGCTCCGGACGTGCCGATTGTCCAACTGTTCTCCCAAGAATGTGGGATGAGAGTTTGTATTTCCCCGAAGATTTGCAGAGTTAAGAGGCATGCCAAGAAGTACGAAATGTGGGGTGACATAGTTCCTCAGGTATAAAATCTGTATGAATTTCCTCCTAATAGAATAAAACAGTTTTTCTTTGCATAGAGACTTTTGAATTCCAAGATGGGCATTTTCCTCACGGCCTTGGGTCTTCTCGCCGGGACGGCATCTGGCTTGAGCCATACCGAGCCATACCGTCCTCAATATCATTTCTCTCCTGCCGAACACTGGATGAACGATCCTGCCGGATTGATATATCACAATGAGACCTACCATCTCTTCTTCCAATATAACCCTGGTGGTATTGAATGGGGGAATATGTCATGGGGTCATGCAACGAGTAAAGATCTGACCCACTGGGAAGAGCGCCCTGTTGCTCTACTTGCTCGTGGATATCCCGAGAATGTCACCGAGATGTTCTTCACGGGAAGTGCGGTAGCAGATGTGAACAACACGAGTGGCTTTGGGGTTGATGGAAAGATTCCTTTGGTCGCTATGTATACTTCCAGTGTACGATCACATAACCATTTCACTTGATTACTCATGAAGACTGACAACCGTTTTCTCCATAAAGTATCCCGTCGCACAAGAGCTCCCAAGCGGAAAGCAGGTTCAGGCAGGGCAGCAATCTCAGTCAATCGCTTATAGTCTCGATGAGGGTGAGACTTGGACAACATATGATGCCGAGAACCCGGTGATCCACAACCCACCTTCTCCTTATGGAGCAGAATTTCAAAACTTCCGAGATCCCTTCGTGTCCTGGCATGCCGATACCCAGAAATGGGTTGCCGTCACAGTTCTGTCATCGCTCCACAAAGTTGCGATATGGACTTCGGACAACCTCAAAGAGTGGACTTTGGCTAGCGAATTCGGACCCTACAATGGTGTCGGTGGCGTATGGGAATGTCCCAACCTGTTTCAACTGCCCATCAAGGGAGACCCATCAATCAAGAAATGGGTATTGGTTTTGGGACTCAATCCTGGTGGACCACCTGGCACCGTCGGCTCAGGCACGCAGTACTTTATTGGCGACTTCGATGGAACGACTTTCAAGGCTGATCCTGCTAGCATCTATCCAGACAACAAGTCTGCCAACTGGATGGACTGGGGTCCGGACTTTTATGCCGCCGCTAGTTATAATGGACTTCCTGAGGGAGGCGACGTGGTCCAGATTGGGTGGATGAATAACTGGCAGTATGGTCAGAGGATCCCGACAAGTCCTTGGCGAAGCGCCATGTCTGTTCCCCGTCAGTTGTCTTTGAAGAAGGTTAATGGGAAGGTGACCCTCCTTCAACAACCGCAATACAGCTGGCGGAGTGTTGCCAATCACCAGACCTTGAAACATTCCTGGAAATCTGTATCGAAGGGATCAACCAGCCTGGACTCCCCAGGCAAGGCATTCAAGATCGACTTGAGCTTTGCTGATCATGACTCCAACAAGTCTCTGGCATCCACGTTTGCGATAGGCGTTCGTGCTAGCTCTGACTTCAAGCAAGAAACACTCATCGGGTACAACTTTACCAGCAAAGAGGTCTTCGTGGATCGGAGAAATTCAGGAGATGTATCTTCCGACAAGACCTTTGCAAGCTTGTATCACGCACCACTATCAGCGAACGCGGATAAACGGATCAACTTGCAGGTCTTCGTGGATTGGTCTAGTGTTGAGGTCTTGGGTGGTCAAGGAGAGGTCTCTTTGACGGCTCAGATATTCCCAAAGGGAAATTCAACCGAAGCACGGCTTGTTTCGACGGACGGAGTGACCCAGGATGTCAGGCTTCGGATCAACGGAATGGATTCAGCGTGGCACTAGAATAGTGAGAGGCAACAAGAAGCCAGAAATGAGATGAAATCAGACCACTGATATTTTGCACGCCGACGTGCACGAAATGATCGTTCTTGACCATCAGCGTAGTGACAGAGTTAGCTTTGAGAGATTGACATAGGGAAAAGGAAGAAGTGCGAGAAAAGTCAGTCGAAGTGACAAGTAATATAGCGACGATGCGGCCTGGTCGTCAAAGGCCTTGCTCTTCCCAGATGTCCCTGGAAATTTTGATCAAAATCGTGTTTTCGATGCTGATGTCAGTTTCTCTCGGGATGGTCGGCGGGCGAAGAAAGAGCTGGTCAAACCTGATGACCAGTGGTTGGCCATCGACGTAGACAAAATTGTTCTCGCCTTTGTTGATCGTAACGACTTGCTGACGTTTGACCCTATTGTCCACCTGCTCCCATGACTCCAGCACAATGGTTGGCGCACTGCGACCGATCTTGATTGTGATGACCATTTGCACATCGCCGTTGGATTCGAAAAGCCAAAACCGAGCATCAGACATCAACTTCGAAGGTGTCTCCGAAAACCCACTTTCTACCACGAGAGACGGCCATTTGGTTGTTCGGCCGCGGGGAAGTCTCCTTGGTAAAAATTGGCAGTCCGGCTGTTTAGCAGAGCCATTCTCTGCTTCGCAAGTGGCAGACCCAAAGGTTCGAAGGCAGCCGTCGAGGCCCATTGGTATAAGAGAGAAAAATAAATGTTTTTCGAACACTCGTGTCGCAGTTTTATGAGCGCGTGAGACTGTCATTTTGACAAGCAGAAGGTGTTGAGAAGAGTCGTAAGAATTCCAGTAACGGTGAAGAATACTATCGTCGGAGTTTAGGAAGTCGCGACTAAAGACCTGCTTATTAACTTGAGTGAAGAGCACCCATTCACTGGCCTCAAATTCATCTTGATGGCGACTTTGTTCCATCTTTACAGTGTCGAGAAACTGTTTATGTCCCTTGTACTGATCGTGGGTCCTAGGTCACCCAGAAAGCTGCTGCTGGAGGTCTCGGTGTCTAACTCAAACTTTGTGTTCGAGGACATGATGGCGGCAATCACACTCGTGTTAGTGTGAAAGAAACATTCCCATATTGATTGTATTAAGAATCACCGAGGACCACCTGTCAATGTGACGTAGTCTTATTACGATCGTCGGTGCAATGAACATCTACGGGGCAAAACCATGCCTCACCAAGGTTAACTAGTCGAAGTCTCAGAGAACAAGTTTTAAACCGATAAAGAGTAAGTATTAATGACTTGCGCACATGGGACGGTCACATAGTGTTTCCCGTCAGTGACACTGAGATGCTATCCTAGCCGGCCTATCCTCCAGGTCTGGAATGCAGGGCATGGGTGCCGGTATTTGGGCGTAGAGGGCACAAAGCTAGTAGCATGAACTGGGCCGGTGTCGTCTGCACTATCATCCTGTGGCAACAGCTGGAGTCTGCCGTAAGTCTGCTTGACGTTTTCAAAGATTAATCCCATCATCGAGAATAGGTCTCCATTCTCCAATGCGGCCTGATCACAACGCGATACACTGTCGAAGCGACTGCACAACGCATCTAGAATAGAATAAAAGTCAATGGTCGTTCGCGCAACTCGGACATCCCAGTCACGAAGCTGGGGAATCCCAACTGTCAGTCTATAAATAATGGTGATAGCATATATAATGCAAGACCACTGCATGTAAGAGAGACTGCCGTATTCGGATGTTGGGATGGAGAAGAAATTCTGCGCAAGCTGCCCTGCAGATTTCAAGCAGAGAAAGAGCACCTCTAGGGGAATTCGAGACGTAAAAGATGAGCCTGTTGAATGTTTCAGAGAACCTGTCGTTCGTCGCGTTTTCGATGCAAAGACATTGACGAGATCCATCTCGTAGACATGCATTACAGCAATCTCACAAGCCAGGTCAATCCAGTCTACGGTACATTAGCATCGATTCCATTGGACTTTCGACCGTTCGAACGTACTCGCTTGCTGAGATGCGAGTGGAAGCGAGTGCTTCCACTGCTTAAATTCGGCTTGGAATGATTGGACCTTCATTTCAAGATCTAGGCCATCCATGTGGTCAACATTTGCAAGACTGCAGTGATTCACCTCGGCCATGTTTTGAAGCTGGACTAATGGTAAAAGCAATGCGTCCGTTGGATGTTCCAATTCTTGACCCAACGATGTCGCACATTCAATCATATAGCTTTGAAATTGAATACCAGTTGCCTTCATTTTAACCCAGCCGGTGCTAACAACAGCTTTAATTAGTCATACACTCCATTTTTGAGCGATGATGGTACCTTCATCCAGAAAATGTGATCCGAGAGGCGAAGGGCTTTGTTTGGGAAATTACTTACAGAGTCGAAAGATAAAAGCATCCTAAGTATGCTCGACGGGCTTCTCGGCTAAAAAATTCGTCGTGGTTCGCTGAAGGTGTAGAGACTTTACGATAATGTGTCAATCGAAGTCCTATCTTCCTACTCATTGCCTCGGCAGGTGTGAGGTTCAAGCCTATGTCACCAACCATGCTAATTGCGATATGGAGTAGTTGGTTGAACTGTTCTTTCTTGGGAACGTAATAAAAGTGATACCTAAAGTACGCGTTGGTTAGCAGAGTTGAACCAAGAGTGATAAATTAGCACAGTCTACCCACCAGGCCAAGTATACTAGCATCCCATTCAGGAGATCTAGGCTCCTTTCATTGTGAACCATAATAGTGTGGAGAGCGCTGGTTCTAAATTTCTCACCGAGGGCCTTTTGTAATTTCTTGTCTGAAGAGGTCGCCGCCGCCAATGCTGCCACGAGGGCAAAAGGCCGTTCTTTACACATTGTCAAAACATTGGCATGAGTAGGAACCACGAAAAATGGAAAGTAAGAGGTCATGGTGCGAAACCGGTTGAGGAATCCATCAGCAGCATCAATAGACAGGCCACACTCAAGCAGTAGTTCAGGGCAGGGTATGCCGTTGATTCTAGGATAGCCAGCCCACTTATCAAGCGGCCAATCGAGGGGTGTTGAACTTGTGCTGTTGTTATGGCTGCTGCTTGGGGTGGGATCTCGTTCCCCGTTAGAAGATGAACTATAGGTAGACAAGCCATTTTCCAGAAACCCCGCCTCTCGCTGTGAAGGTCCTTTCCCGTGACTCAATTTGGACAGACTAGCGATAGCAAGCAGATTATCGACCTTCGACTCCAGCGCACGAATTCGGGTCTTTGAGCTATGCTTTTGCTGGCGTTGTCGCGGTTGCCGTGGTTGCCGTGGTTGCCGCTCCAAAAATACACAGGTTTTTTTGGAATTCACACACTTTAGACATGTGTCAGGTTGGGGGCTAGGCAGACAGCGGACCTTCAGCGAGCGGCATATTTCGCACGCTTGCGAGGCCTTGTTCTTGGGCCCTTCGCCCATATTGAGTCTAGTTCCTAATTGGTCCTGAGAAAAGCATGGAATCCTAAGGTTGTACGAGACCTGAGCTAAGACCGGAGAGAAATACCCAGGTGACACGACTGAAAACAAAGTACGGAGTAAAAGAAAACATGAAAAAAATAAAAAAATTTCATATACTCATCTGTTGGGAGGATGAAGGACGGAACGGAATGTTCAGTTTCTGTCTCCGATCCGCGATTTCGGTGACTAAGCCATACTGAAGGCGGCTAGGCCCGGGTTCTCCAGGGCTGATCGGTGGACCCGTGGACCCGTGGACCGGTGAACTCGTAAATCCATGGATCCATCTACGTGGATTCATGGATCGGAACAAAAACAGCACGACTCTACTTCCGTCCCGCGATATGGGGGCCATCAAAGACTCCTGTCACAGACGTTGGGGAAAGTGAAAAAATAAATTGTTTTATTGATCCTTTCGATGCATATAAGTAGCTAGCGTAGGCCTTTCCCTAGGTCTTCTTCATCTCTACCACCATCGTCTTGTCTCTACTACCATCCTCTATAAATCCACCAGCCATGGCTCCCATCCAGTTCGGTATTATCATGATACCGTTTCAATTGCTGGACGTCGCAGGACCCGTTGATGTCCTATCCAGCTCCTCGGCTCCTTACCTGAGGGGATTCAACAATGCCGACATAGCTGACCGCGGTATTGATATCGAATTCCACTATATTGGCGATGGACTGCACCCTGTAACCCATACCGGGAGTTTCGAATCACGGCCTACGACCACCCTGTCTGATTGTCCCAAGCTTGATTATCTCCTAATCGGCGGGCCTTCGCCGGATTATATCAAAGACATCCCGCCAGCGATAGCAGGCTTTGTGCGCGAACGTGCCAACGAAGTCAAGACTGTGTTCACCACTTGCACCGGTGGATTGTTTGCGTCCATGCTGGGTCTCCTGGATGGCCTGAACGCCACGACGAACCACGAAGCCATCGGAATGGCAAGGGAATTTGCTCCCAATGTCAAGTGGACGGCCGAAAAGAACTGGATCATTGACGGCAAATTTTGGACTGCTGGTGGTGCTTGCGCTGGCATGGACATGATGGCCCATTGGGTCATGGAGAATTACGACAAGGACATTGCCGAAGCCGGATTTGCAGCTCTTGCTTACGAGCCGCGTGATGTAGATGGAAAGCAAGTTGTCTTAACAAAACATGCCTCAAAGTGATCGAGAGGTAATTATTTGGAGATCAAGCAACATCAGAATTGTGATGAACACATTGGAGGGTTCATAATGCCAAGGAATATGTACCTACTGCACAAATTAACTAAACTGTATTGGGCGGAAGGCGAGCCGAGCCTAGGTAACATTTTATCCTTAGCTACATACTCCGTCCATGTAAATTGCTTTAATTGTGTTCCAAGGTTATGTCATATAGTTCCGGCCATGGTATAAAATAACCCACGTGGCTCCTGCACAGTTTGGCGACTGATACAATCTACAGCACACGTGCGGAATATGTCGGGATACTCCGAGGCTAATGCAGACCTGCATGCCACGATGTGACCCTGAGCAGCTCATAGCCCCATTTGGAAATAGGTGGTTGGTGGGATTCCCGGCTATAGTGTCTCCAAGTCTCTATTTAATGAGTGGGATCACTTCAAATGTCGAAGCACTATCGCAATCTTTTAACACACAAGCCCGAACATGCGCTTAAAGCTAGGAGCTAGCTTGGCTGTCCTGGCCGCCAGCCATGTGACAGCTCTCTCCCAAATAACAGATGACGAGATGGACTCACTGCTCGATGCAGGTAGCGTAGATCTAGCACACCGATACGCGCCCATGTGGTTCTTTGGCCAAGCCCTGAATCAGCCACCATGCTATCCAACCTGGACGTATGGCGGCTCACCAAATACAGCAGATGTCTATGATGACGCCCACAGGACACCGGGCGCGCCGCAGTGTGATTACCCAGACGTCGGGTGCAGCTGCCGCAACCCTGGCGTTGGAATCGGGAATCCGGGCCCTGCATTTCCCGTTTATTATACATACCAGAGATGCAGCGATACCGAGGTGCGCGTTGTCTATAATCTCTTTTACGAGAAAGATGGCGCAGAATTTATTGGCATCGACACCGGACATGACTAGTAGGTAGCCCATTCTTCAACATCGTAAAATACCGCTTGTTCAGCACACCTCTGACATCTGTTCCAGCGATTGGGAGCGAGTAGTAATCATCCACTCTCGAGATGACAGCAACACGTGGGCGCCATCGCGTGCCCTGCTCTCTGCGCATAGCGGGTACCACAACCTGGCCTGGGGCGATATCCAAAACACCCTAACGACGGACGAGGTCAACGCGGGAAGTGCTAAAACCCCAAACGGTGTAAAGAACAATGACCATCCCAAGGTGTATGTGTCATGGTCGAAGCATGCTCACTTCGATACTCGTAATACCGGGTGGAATGACCCGGCAAGTCAGTCACTGGATAATGCATTCCGGAGCGATGATTGGTGGTACTTTGTCGAGCCACAGTACTATGTAAGTTTCTTAATTTACAAGCGGAGGAGATACTCATACATTTTCAGATCCGAGCTGATGATAGTACGGAGGCGGGTAAGGTTATTGGGGCTGCTGATTGGGGTAGCGCAACCAGTGACCCGGTGTCGGTGCAGTCTGGTGTGTGCGAGGCCGCATAGTGATGACTACAAGGTTGGACGGAACATTGTACATATGTTCAGCTTCTCTACCTATGTCTAATTGTTGCCTATTTATACAGCCATCAAATTTTTCGGGTCCATTTGGCTACTCCCATTTGATTCCGTAGCCTTACATACCTCTTGCTCATTGGAGTATCTCGCAATCATTTCTCGATTCCGATCCGATTGCCGTGGTCGTCCAATTGTTCACTGGAATTCTCCATTCCGCTCCACTTGGGGAGACCATCCGGAAGATCAAACACGCGTGATTTGTAGAAGATATGACATCTAGCGTGATCGTTAGTTTGCACTCATAGAGTAAGTAGTAGGACATGCACATGCGTCGGCTTAAAGATCTCCCTCCTCTCCCTTTGCTCCTGGCTAGATCCCTCGAGCTCAATCAATTGAGGGAAGATCAAACACATATTCCGGCCTTCATCCATGATAGGTGTCCGGCAATTGCCACAGGACACCTTGGTAGGCAACACATGATCCTGACTTTCATGTGTGGAAGAATAAAATACCAGACCGCTCACGCCAGTAGTGAATGATATATCGTCCTTATGGAAAATAGCCGCCCATTGAAGAGGAGCTCCGTGGGTAACCTGGCACACCCGACAATGGCAGTATTTGGCATTGAGTGGTTTCTCCCGCTTCAAGAGATAGGTGATATTTCCACAGAGACACTTTCCACGCCACTTGATTGGACCAAACTGTTCCTTGGATTGGACTTCATATGGTGGAAGGTGCTTCCAGGGTCCTTCGGGCGTGGATTCTGGGAGTGTGTTGGTATGCGCCGGCCAGGGAAGAGGATCGATGAAGTTGCGACTTATTTCCGCCATAATGTGTGGTTTTGGTATGTGAATTGAGTACGTGAGGTAGTTGGAAGTGTGTGTTTTGCTTTTTCCCGGTCTTTACTGAGGTTCGAATATATGGACGATAACCACGATGATGTCAGTCAATGGCCAATGATATATGGGTCCAATATCCAAGGATGAATTGAATCATTCAATTGAATATCCATCATTTGTTCCACTGAACTTGAATTTCTTAAAAATGACGCTGTTGACTCAGTGATGTCATGTGAATTCTCCTCGGGATCTCCTTTGGAGCTTGAATCATTTTTCTCCATAATATTTGACCTATGAGAAGTTAATCCGTGCCCTTTGTCTTCAAAATCTTTCATATGGAGGATCTTCACGATCTAACAGACGTGATGAACCCCCTTAGACTGAAACGCTCGTGTTTCATGTTTCATGTTCGGGGGGCTGAAAGGGGGGGAGATATGATTGACGGTCCCTGCATTAACGCGCTTTTTCCCTATCATCTCCCCTCTTTTAATATTCACATTCTTCCACCTCCTAGCCAGAATGGGCCTTTTTGACAAGCTGCGGCGAAGTTCACGACGAAGCTCACGGCGAAGTGACCGGGAAACGACCGACCCGCCATCGCCCCGCGTTAACGTGCCCGCCCGAGATTACACCAAACAGTTACCTCGGCCAGTATTGACACGCATTTTCTCCTTTGTTTGTCCTCACACCATCGATAACACATATGGCACCTCCGAGGAATCAGCCAGCGATGGCTGTATGTTATGCGACATGCGCGATCTCGCACACTGCACCCTCGTTAGCAAGAGATGGTTTTTGGATGCGCGGGCGCTTCTGTAGGAGATCCCTGGGCCTTTTGACAAGTGCAAAACTAATACCGGTCTTGCTGCTAGTTATACCAACGTCCGAATCGACCCCGTCCATTACTGCGAACTTGAAATCGAATTAGCCGCCAAGCGAAAACGCCGCTCGTTCTTTGACCGCAATGGCGATCCTATCGATGCCCCGCAAGTCCGTCTGGAAATGTTCATGCGAACAGTGCGAGAGTCTCAGGGGCTAGGAAATATGGTGTTGTCACTCCGAATGCCATACATGACCCGCGAGGCCAACAAAGCCAACGTGGCTCGGACTATCTCGGTCCTTCCTAATCTCCGCTTTGTTGATCTGCCGGTGGGTTTGTACAGCGACGAGGCATCATGTCTATCCTTGAAACAGGAGTTGATGGCCCGATGCCCCGAGTTGCGTCGGATGGCCTATCGCCAAGGTGCCGAGGGTAGTTTTGCACGTCTGCCTGGCTCCCAGCTATGGACGAATTTGGAGGTGCTGGAGCTATCTGGAGTTCACATGGAGGCTAGTACTCTACGCGCCGGACTTGGTTCATTCCCCCATCTTCGTGAGCTCACGCTCGAAGATCTCGATTGGCTGGATGATTCTGCATTTGCAGTGAACGTGCCTCTTCCGCCGTTCCCGTCAGTTCAGTCTCTTACACTACGCAATACCCCTAATGTCACGGCAAGCGGGCTTGCCGCGTTCCTTTCCATGCCAGCGAACCGAGCAACTTTGGGATCTTTGATATTATCTTCTACTGGCGTTGGTCCGTCGCAACTACATTATATTCTTTCCGCCGCCCCGCAACTCGAGAGCCTTTCTGTCATCCAGGAGGTCTCTCGCTCATTCCCCATGGAGCAGATTCCTCCCATGGCATCGAGGTCGCTGCGTCTGCTGCACTATGAACTCACATCCCAAACCGATAACCATGGAATGCCACCTGTGGTATCCTCGTACTATACCTATCTTATCTCGACCCTGGTGTCCCGAGCCTTACCAGCCCTTCGAGACTTATATGTCCGTGATTCCTCATTCCCGGACACACTACTGCTAATGCCCCCACCACGACTCTTCGGTGGTGGCGAGAACGGACCGCAGATGCGGGGCGGCCTTTCGCAACCCCTGAATGTGTACAGCAAGGGTCTAGATGAGTTTGAGTGGAATTTTACACCGTACGACCCCAGCCCGGCGCCCGGACGCCGCGACTCAAGTACGCGCCCCGTGAGCTTTCACGAGGCCCAACTCAACCGGTCTTGGGGCGGCGATGCTCGCAAGAGCGTGCTCGTCGGGAACGGGTTTGGTGGGTTCCTGGCTGTTCCGGCTGATGAAGAGCGACCAATGAGTAGTCAGGGACACCAAATTCGGTCAAGTAAACAGGATATATGGCGATGAAGTTCTTATATATGGATGAATTCTATTGTGTGGAATGGTCAGTATCTTGAGGCATTGGACTCGAGGAGAAAAGTGGGCCTAGCGAGGACCGCGCTTCATGAAATGATGATTTGAGTACATAGGTCAGGTCTCTAAGGGAAATGTTCAGTTTCATTCAAGCATAATCGGGCGATATACATGCGTGGCTATTCCGCAGATTCGCTCTGTTCTGGCCATCCTTTTGGCAGCTGTAACCCGCGCCATACCCACTGGTTCTGAATGTCGCTATCCGTCATATTACAATATCCGTATGTCTGGCAATAACATTCACGTTGGTCGAGACAATACTGAGCCGGTTTTCCGAAGATCACTGTAAACGGCGGAGGTTAACAAGAGATGATCAAAAGATTGCGGACGAGAGAGACTCACTATGCCATGAATACTCCAGAATACGCCCACTGATGCCCGCTTCTAAATCCGTGTCCATCAACCACCGCTGCAAACGAACATAATGCTCAAGACTCTGCTCATGAATCTTCGTTTTGGACAAAGCAAACTGGCTACAACACGGCGTCCCGACAACCTCCGGGACCTCCGCGCGCGGAAACAACTCCATAAACCGATCGGGATACTCAACCGCGGTGGGATGTCCTTTATCGTCTGGTCTTTCGCGGAGATAGCGAGCGGGCTCCAGTTCGGTGGGGCAGCCGACGCTCCAAGCGCAGCGCAGATTCACATAACCGGCCTCCTGGACGAAGTCGAGGTTGAGATGGGAGATGGAGATGACTGAGTCGTAGAGCGGGTTATCGACATGCCATTGGTAGCGGCCGCCGTGCAGGAAGACCGATACTTCAGGAAGGGACCAATAACGATCAATAATATAACTATAGTGAAAAGGGCAATTAGTATGACACCAAGCTTAGGATTGAAGAAGTCGAAATATCCAAAACATACGTCAGATATACCATAGCCTCATTTCCCTTATTTACGGGAACGGTCAAGCCAACGTCTTCATGTTTCGCATCAGCACGATAGATAGACACCTGCCAGTCCGACAGATTCTCCTCCACCCAGGACATATTGCTAGCCTGCATAGCGGCGAGAACCAACTCCTTCTCCGCTGGCTGTACAGAATCGGGAACGAAGCGATCATCATCGCCGGCCACAACGATACCCTGAATGGCCGTCCATCTTGTGCCTATATCCGGTCCTCGGTCAAGAATGAGTTGATATGACAGAAGCAGTAAAGTCACAGCTAGACCGAGGTAAATAAAGACCCGCGACCGTGAAACACTGACATCGTGGGGGGACGCGCAATCCCGAAGCGGGGAAGAGGACCACCTCATTGCATTGTATTTATATTTATATTTATATAAAGGGACAAGTGAGGTACAAGGAGGTAATGGACAAAATAGACAATGGACGATAGACAATGTTCAGGGCAGAAAGAAGAATATAACAGGGGCAGGCATTCTGACGTAGTGAACTAGGTGGAGGTTCCATGGTTACATGTGTCGACTTGGAGAAGTAACTAACAGATGCATCTCACAAAAGTACGAATATATCATGAATATCACGAATAACAACGGTTTAATCTTGTGCCCACAGCTATTTAAAGAGTCGCAAACTCAGGGTCGAGGGGGACTAAGACCGCAAACGGACATGCCGTCGTTGATCGTACATCGATGTATACATCAGTATATGCATACTGTAGTACTGCGTGTATCACACACACACTAATTGGTGTATGCTCCGGGTAGTAGATAATATATTTAAAACCAGTCAATTGAATCAACTCACACCTTATCGATGGCCTCTAGGGCTAATTGACGGTAAATCGCCGAAAATGGCTGCCTTCCGGTTTGGGCTCTTAGGGCCCGCAAGAGTCAAAACTGAGATTCTATTAGGATCGCATGGTTTTTATTAGGTAGTAGTAATTACTAGCTAAATATAGAATGTATTATATCAGCGCTAAGTAAGGGCTTAGCCCAGAGAAAACCCCTTAAGTGCCTTAGTAATAGGCACTCGCTACTACTATAATGACTTGGCCGAGTGCTAAGAAGTACTAGCCTAAGGTATCTAGCAAGTGGTTGCCTTAGGCCCAAGAGTAAGTAAACCCTATAAACCTCTCGGGAGTATATCCCTCCCTACTAGATCTAGCTTACCGCCCCGGAAGCTATAAAAATAAGGTTATATAGACTCCCCGAATAGATAATATAGTAGTGTTAAAAGATACTCTACAAGTCAGGGTAGGTGCCTGTCAATCAGGTAGGAGAAGGTAACAAGATAGGTGGTTCCCAGAAGTCAAAGACTATTTCTTAAAGAGCCGTTAGGCTTCCTCTATATAGTCCAATTTATATATAGTCTTCCTATTGTTACGGACCTATCCGTCACCAATCAGTGGTGACCCACCAGGCACACCAATGGGCCATCGAGAGCCAACCAGGATATCTGTCAGCAGATCACGTGCAAGCTCACTGATCCGCCCTAAGCGGATCCACCCCGTAGAGGATTTCCGTTACATAGGTTACTCTGTGTACCAGATAACCACTACACAAAGAAACACGTGACACCAGAGGAGTATATGCCTACATAGGGGTAGGATATACCCTAGGGAGTCGATATACCCCAGGGAGTAGGATCTACTCCACGAAGGCTATCGACTCTAGGGAAACGAAGGATATTGACGGAAAGCTGGTGTACGAACAATGTATGGTATAAATGACCAATGTTGACAACTCTAACTAAAATGACAAAACCCGCTATTTCAACAATCTGTGCGGACCATGATGACTAACTGTAATATGCACTTTTGTATGGTATGCCTGGTACCCAATGTCACATGATGTTTCCGGTATATTACCTGGTTTCTACCATGTATTCGGACTTGGTATTCGACAGATATATAAGGACACTCCCTTATATATTTAGTTTAGTTCTTCGTCTTCAATTATATATTGTTACTTATATTTACCTTTTGGATTACTATGACTCTTTACTTGATTATAACTTGAGAATACTCACAAGCAGACTGTTACGCACTAGCTAACTGGTCACAGTTAGGTTAGATGGGTTCAGGGTATACTTGCCTTAATACTCCTCGAATGGTCTAACGTTAATGATCCGGTCTTAACTAAGCTAATGCCGCGTAGGGCCTTATAGTAGCCTAAGTCCTTTTAAGCGATTAAAGAACTAATACTAGGTAGAGCGCCGAGTAGATCTATACCGGGGTATTAGTCTACTCGTAAGTATTATTAGGATATAATTAAGTAAAGAGTTATAGTAATCTAAAAGGTAAATATAAGTAATAATATATAATTAAAGACGAAGAACTAAACTAGATATATAAATAAGTATCCTTATATATCCTTAAGTTCTTCCTATATAGAATAGTAGATAGTAGAATAGTAGAATCGTCTTAGCGGATTCTACTAATCTACTTATTACCCTTCTACTACCTATATAATCACGTAAGGCTAAGTAGTAGTTATCTAGTATATAGAGTAACCTATATATTAGAAATCTTCTATAGGGTAGATCCGCTTAAGGCGGATTATACTCTTACTTAGTAAGTTTATACGTAATCTACTAATAGATCTTATTAGTTAGCTTTTAATAGCCTATTAGTATACCTAGTAGGTCGCTATTTAATTAGTAATAGATAGGTTTATAATATTACCTTCTCTCTTCCTAGGAGTTTTATCCCCGAGACTTATAAAGCTACGGTACTTCCCTTAGGTAGATAATAGATTTTTTTTCTTTAAAATAATATATCCTTATTATACCTAAATAAAAGGCTAACTCTATTTCCTTACTTACTCCTAAACTTCCTTTCGATTCTTTTAATACTTATTACCGCTAAGCGACTTATATTAAGGATAATAGTTTTACTACCTTTATTTCTTATAATTATTATAAATCGATAGGTATTACTTATCTAATAAATCGTTCTTATTAATACTCGAAATATATCTTATATACTCGCGTAAGTCGTTTATATAAGCGTGATTTTTATATTAGTTAGGAATAGGATTTATTACGTTATACCGAAACTAAACTTTCTTCGGATCTTAAAACGAACGAAAGTAAACTCGATTTATTAGAACCTAAGTTAAGTAAACTATAAGCTTATCTTATAAAGCTATATTAAAAATTATTAAATAAATAAAAGTAATACTAAGAAGTAATATCTAGATAACGTCGGTTACGTAAATAAATATCCTTCTTAAAATAAAAGGGTTTTAAAATATTAGAATATAATATTAAACTTCTTTAAATTCTCGATAAAAAATAAATATCTCTAGAGTAGGCTTCCCTTTCTACTCTTAATCTTAAGTAGCTTACTACTACTACCGATTATCCGAACTTTAATTAGATATTAGTAGAGATTACTAATTTCCCTATTTCTTTCTAGGATAAATCTAGTTTTATACCCTCCTCGCTTTCTATTATATAGGGATCCTTTTCGCCTATTAGTAGTACTATTAAACGAGCTAATAATAGCCCCTTAGGTTCTAGATAGATTCCTATATATTTTCTAAGATAGGATACCTTTTTTATTAAACTAAAAGTTATTACTAACTATTATATTATTTATCTAATAGGATTCGTTCGACTTTATATTCGTTTTCGGTTTCCTCGATTTCTACGTTAGTTATAATTTCGGTATTATCTAGTACTAGTTTAAGTAACGAGATATAAAATACTATATAGAGTTTTTATATACTTTTAGATAGCTTTAAGCGATAATTTACTAGTCCTAATTTTTTCTTAATCTTAAATAGTCTTAATTATAGGTAGTCTAATTTATTACTAGGTCGCTTAGTTTTAATATTACGTTATAATAGGTAAACCTTTTCTCCCTCCTTAAGATTAGGTCCCTCTCTATAGTAGTTATTATAATATTTCTTTATATATAGATTAATAAAGTTAATATCTCTAACTAATTATATATATAACTTTCTTAGTCTACTAGTCTTTAGTCTTATTAATTCTACTATAGCTATCTTATTAATTAGTTCTCTAAATACTACTAGATTATATCCGTAATTTATAAAGAATAGTATTTTATTAATCGTAAAGTACGCTATATTATTATATATTAGCTATACTATTAGTAGTAGTCCTACTTAGTTATCTTACTAGTAGTTTATATAGTATTATAGGTACTATTTTATTATCTAATTTACTCTTTCTATCTAATTATTAGTTTATAGGTAGTATATAATCGAGAGTCTAAGCTTAATATCTATTTAATCTATAAAAGATTTCTATATATTTAATATAAATAGCTTATCTCTATCCGATATAATCTTACTCGGTATCCTATAGTTTATAACTATATATTAAAGTATAATATTCGCTATTTAATTAGTATCGATAGTTTCTATAGTCGGAATTATATAGGCGTACTTAATAAGCCTATCGACTATAACTATAATTATATTATATCTATCTAAGATTAGTAACTTTATAATAAAGTCTATTATAATCTATTCTTATAGTTAGGTTAGTATCTTAGATAACTATAATTCTCCGTAAGGTACGTACTATATAAGTTTATTTTATTAGTATATATTATAAACGTAGACGTAGAATCGAACCTTTCGCTATATATTTAGAAAATAATAATTTTATATAATATATTTAATAGTTTTTTCTACTCCTATATATCTATATAAGATATTATTATAGTATTAATATATAACCTCTTCTCTTAGCTTATTTAGGATATATATTAATCTATATATATAAAGTAACCCTTAGTCGTCTTTAGTAAGTTTTCTACCCTTTTTAATAAGTTAATTAATTATATCTTCTTTTAATATATCTTTAATTTTCTATAATAAGTCGTTATCCTTAACTTCTATCGTTATAGCTAGTAACTACTTATTATATAAAATAGTACTATTAGAGTTTTATCTTAATATAGTAGGGTCCGCTATCTTAGTTCCTAATTCGTAATCTAATCGTCTACTTAAAGTATTAGCTTATCTATTCTCTATCCCTTTATAGTATTCGATTTTAAAATCGTATTATATAAGGGTTTCGGCCTATCGCGTTTATTATCTTATTAACTTCTTCGTTATAGTAAAGAATATAAGATTCTTATAATTAGTCTTAACTATTACTATATATTTTACTTCTTTTAGATATACCCTCTAGACTTAGAACGCTAATACTATAGCTAATAGTTTTTTATTATATATATTATAGTTAAGTTTTACTAGAACTATTTTCCTCGACTAAAATATAACTAGTCGGTACTTACTATTAGTTCCTAGTTACGTTAGTCTTACTCCTAGAGTATAGTCTAATATATCGGTTTCTATAATAATTAGTCAGT